TGCCACCAACTTATTTTTTTTAAATAGCAAGGTACCCCTTGTGACATATCAAATAAAAGAGCATGAAAAAAGAAAATTTTTGATGAAAAAAATTGAAAATCGGTTCATAAATTTGTGAGATATTTCCCCCCTCACCCCCCCCCGGAACTTATTTTTTTTAATAGCAAAGTACCCCTTGTGACATATCAAATGAAAGAGCATGAAAAAAGACAAATTTTGGCGAAATTTATTTTTCATTTGATATGTCACAAGGGCGGGTACCTTGCTATTAAAAAACAAGTTATGAGTAGGGGAAAAGGGGGGTGAATATCTCACAAATTCATGAGCCGATTTTGAATTTTTTTTCACCAAAAATTTTCTTTTTTCATGCTCTTTCATTTGATATGTCACAAGGGGTACTTTGCTATTAAAAAAAAAATTAAGTTCCGGGGGGGTGAGGGGGGGAATATCTCACAAATTTATGAACCGATTTTCAATTTTTTTTCATCAAACATTTTCTTTTTTTATGCTCTTTTATTTGATATGTCACAAGGGGTACCTTGCTATTTAAAAAAAATAAGTTGGTGGCAGGGGGGAAAGGGGGGGAATGTGAATGTAACGTTGAATTCAAAACAATTGGTCCCCCTACGTCAATAGATGATTCCCGCAAACTGCATATTTCTATCTATTGCGGTTTTTACATAAATAAAGATGCAAGTTTTTAAAAAAACACCCTGTATATATACTTTACAAAACCCTTATGGTGTACAAAGTTCCCCGCGCAACGGTTTTTCCAATTTGCTGTAACTTCTAAAGTAATAGAGATAGAAAAATGCAATTTCCACCAAACTGTTCCAAATAGCCCCAGCTTTCAAATGCATGTTATAAAGTAACCCCTTAGACTAACCATCTTGGAGTTATTGGTATCCCAAGTGACTGTAATAAAGTAGCCCCGAACCCGGGGCTACTTTTTACAGGTACATTTTATTTTTTTTTTATTGTACATAAGCAATTAATTTTTTTTTACTACATAGCTCAATAGCTCATGCAAATCCGGACAATTTGATATAAAATATATATATATACCTTTATAAATAAAAAAGTTATTACAGTTATTCAAAAAAATTGTTATAAAGTAGCCCCGGTTGACGGTGATAATCTTAAGTTCATATCTTGAAGTAGACAGACATCCTATACCTTGCAGATAGTTACAAAATATTGTCCGGCACTGGAATTTTTCAAAGATTAATTGAACAAACATTACAAGGTATCCCCGGTGTAAGTTAATTTTTTTTAATAGTATTATTGTTACTGAAGTTGACACCGCTGAACACCTGTCGAGACTATGATACAAGTGTAATAAGTTGAATACAAAAGGGTTAACCGTTCATAAAGATGTATTTTTTCAGTGATAGCTTACAGTATTTAGGGTATGTAATTAGACAAGATGGTTTTGCTATTTCCAAAGATAAAGTCAGATCAATTGTTAAGGAACCAGTTCCTACTCAAGGGTTTCCAAGGTGTAATTAATTACTATTCAATGTTTGTACCAAATGTTGATACCATTCTATCACCCTTGTACCAATTACTGGTCTTAGCCAATTGTAAACCACTATTAGCTATATTTGGTCCAAAAAAATAATTTCTAGCATTTGCAGCAAGCAGACTACAACACTACAGGTTACTTTTTACAGGTTAAGGTTACAAAATTAATTATCGTCACAAAATCATGGACACACAGATGGATTTATTAGACTACCACTAAATTTAAATTATGCGAATAAATGTATATATTGATTATATAGGAACATATTTTAAAAGTCTATTCAAGTTCCATTACCGACAGATTTAAATTATGTGCATATGGAAACTAAATAACACAGTGAGTTAAATAGAATCTTTTGTTACATTTTGTATGGTTGACCAACTATTCAGGAACTTAAATTAAGTGACTATGTATGTATTTTTAAACTAAAGATTAAAATTTACAACTTTTGAAAACAAAGATGTGAATTTAGCACTAAATAGATTTTTTATCTCTACTCGTAACACAGTTCATAGTACTACTTGTAAATTCACTGCCAAACGTATGTTTAATCAACCATTAAGAACTAGGTTGGATTAAATGAGACCTTTTAATACTTTTCAATGAAATGGCGACCATACTAAGTAGGTATTTTAAGCCAAGTATGAATGGAGATGAGTGTAGGATGAGTGGCGCGATCATGTAGTCTTGTTAGTGACTAAGGCCGACATATCCTGAGAAACAGTTGTTAATTAATAGCCCATGACCTAACATTCAATCAACAGACCAGCTGGTAGGTTTACAATGAAGCAGTAAATTTTGTTGTGACAATGGCAGAAACTATGTATGATCTTGTGACTTCACCATCATCAACTGTTCCTGCTTCCTGTGTCGTCACCAGCCGAGCTGAACCGCCAGTACTCTCCGCCTCTTCAACTGAATTTTCCTACTCTTCACAATTCAACGATTCACTTCCAATCCAAACGTCATAAGCCTATTGTTTCCAATCCCCATTCATTACTCGCTGTCAGCTATGTCACTTGTCACAACAAATACTAGGCGCCATTCACAACATGATAGGAAACCCCAAAAAAGGGTTGATTTGTAATTGTTTGGAATGTTCTATTTTGGGTTACTGTTTGCTTTCAATACTCAGTACTGACATATCAACTTGAGTGTATGTGTGCTGTACGTTATGTAAACTACTGGTTATTTAAGGCTACTTATATTGGACTCATAGACACAATCCGGAAAAAACCTCCCGTTTTTCAAAAGATTATTAAAATTAATACTCTTATTTATAAAAGTAATTAATACAGTAGAACCCCAGTTAACCAAAATAAAGGGGGGGGAGCCATTTTGGATAAACAAAATTTCGGTCAATCCGTCATATGTTAACAATTGCCTATGTATTACCACCGTGAGTAAGAATAATGAATTTAAAACAATGACTATATAATAAAGTATTTTTCGGTTATTTTAGCTACAGAAATGTTACAATGGGTTGGAAAATACTTTAAAATAAACAATTGATAATTCATTTTGATAGCCCCAGGATTGCGTTTCATTGGTAAAAAAATTCCTTGTCAGAAAATCCTTGACATGTATTGTAGTGTCGAAATTTACTTGATACATGTTTCGGTAGTTCTTTAACTCCACCATCGTCAGGCACATAAAAGGATCCACTTCTTGAGGTGTCGTCAGAATTGTTACACACATTTAACATAAACACAAAACTTGAAACGATTAAAAACTATAACAGATAGGCCTATCAATTTACGCACGTACATTGCCACGGGCAGGACAGGAAGTAGAACAAATTGAAGTTACTAAATTATTTTACACTATGTGTTACTTATATTTTAGCCCTGTATTATTTTATAAAACGGTTTCGGTTAACCTGAATTTGGTTAACCGGGGTTCTACTGTATATCATTTTACAATATTTGTTTTTGAAAACTATAGCTGATAAATGGTGCACTCCATTGTTGAGACATTGTTTTTTTTCTTTTCTGGAAGTTTAACATAGTTTGTTGTGCCACATGAATTTCATTGAATAAAAATTGAAATTCAATGAAATTGAAATTAAATGAATTGAAATTCGTGATATTCATTGAAATGGCAGTCACCGCTTGGGTGATTGCATCCTTAGTGCCTTAGGAAAAAAAACATAGGGTGACCAAGCGGGCAATGAGATGCCTCTTCCCAAAGAGAGTCGTTTAGGAAACAACTCTCTAAAAATTGCTAGGAATAGGAAAAGGAATCAATATGAAATGTGTGCTATGGCCCCTTCTTGTTGAAATACAATTTTTTGCTATTCAATGACTTCAAATGTTTAGTAGGTCTGAGGAACTCAAATCATTTAACAGTAGCGATTTGAATTTTATTATATCGTTGCCTAACTTTAAAAAAGGGGCTGTGAAGTGGTCGTTGGTGAAGTTCCTGTGGGTTTAATGCAGCCCAGTAGAGGGAATCTTTTTTATTTACAGTACATGACAAGTGGAAGTGGTCACCATTATCAGACAAACACTAAAAAGCGTGATTGGGTACTCTTTGTTTGAAGTTCATTGTTGGTGATGGTGAGTTTATGTTGTTAAAAAAAAAAAAAACAGGTTTATTGCAGACATTTTCCATCACGATTGTAAAAAAACAATACACAACGTTTCGGGATCTGGAATCTGATCCCATCCTCAGGTGAAAAAAACTTAACTAACACATTACAACTAACAATACACAAACGCCCAACCTAAGTTGGAATACACTACAGAAGGTAGCAGTCAAACACTTGAACAACAGTGATTGGGTACGTTGTGAAGAATGTTCTCGTAGGCAGCCCTGCAGATTTCAAAATCTCTTTCACTTATATTTTTAATAGTAACTTCGTAGTAATCTTGTATGGATGGATTTGTACATCTCTTAGTAAGATTATTGTAAGATTGTCAATAAAAATTGCATGCCTACCAAAACATGGCATGCCTACCATTTTTTATAGCTGCTGTCTCCAACACTGTATCATCACCATAACTCACACAGCGGACACTCAAAATGGGGGGGGGGGGGTATTTTGAGACCTATTTTGAGACATATTTTTCCAGACCCCATTTATATGTTTATGATAATTAAAATAAATATTAATTTTTAAAATAAAAATAAATTAACCTTTTAAACGTAAGGGTGGAAAAAATGTTGTGTATCAACTCAAATTCATTTTATATTGTCTATTTATAATTCTCCTGGTTACTTTTATTTAACTTGCCAGTTTGATCCATGTACCGTTAGATCATACAATGTAGCGTCATATCTAACAAACTGAAACTAACCAAACCACATTGATTGTTCTATCATACCACCTTTCCCACTGCTACCACGATTATCACCACATGAAGGCTGGCCAGCTGATACATGAGAAAGGCAGTCAGTATTACAGATTTGAGATTATGCACTATTTTATGTTAATTTTAATTTCACACAAGTAGTCAGTTGAACTAATACATACCTCGTCTCTGTAGAGCCATAGACGCATGTCATCTGCTCGGAAATGAAGCCTTTCGCATAGGAAGTCGTAGACTTGATTGACAGTGGCCATTCTGCTGAATGTAGCCAAGTAGGCGAGATAACGCTTCGGAGCAGTCGGCAGGTTGGATACATATGCGTAGCCTGTTGTACCTACTGACATAGAAAGCATTCAAAGTCATTTGAATCCTTGAATAGCTGCTGTTTTTTACTCAGTTGTTCTTTTGAGCTCAAATTTACGGTATTGTATTGTACTAATAAAGATCTTTATTTGATGTGCATATCAACCTATGCTTAAGTTTATGATTTTCTTCCAAACTCTAGCAGGCATGAGGAGGTAGCGTATAGTAGCATTGCAAATTCGATGAATCTTTGAATAGCTGTCATTTTTGACTAGGTTGTCCTTTCGAATTTGCGTTTGGGGCAATGTGTTTTACTAACAAAGACCTTTAATGTGATACCAAACTCAACCTATGCTGCTATTTAAGAATTTCATCTGACTCCTAATGGGCCATCTAAGGGATAAAATAGTTATAATAGCTTAATAAAGTAGACATTTATGGTATATATCAATATACCAAGTCTTATTACTACTTTATATATAATGGTAAAAAATATATTACACCGATCCGGGATTTTTCAATCATACCTTATAGTTTACACTTTCTTACTTGAAAAAATGAAAAATGTCTTTATGTAAGAGGTGAAGTTAGGACTTGCAAGTCCTCTCTACCACTTAACCTCCAAAACATGAATAAAACTATACACTTATATAAATAATATTAAATAATCTTAATTATCATATTATAAGGGTAAACATAATGAAATTAAATTTACTAATTGGTCCTAAAAAAGTCCATTACTATTACTTATAAGGATTTTGTAATATTGAGGTTCACTAAGTCAAGGTTATAGTATTCAATCAGGATTGAAAAATATTATGATCAGGTTAAATATATCTTGGAATGAGAAAATGGCAGCTTCTACCTTAAAAGAGGTACAGGTAGGCCATAGTACACACAATATTTCATCCCCTGAGGGACTTTTTCAGGGGTAGAAAAAGATAGTTCTTGTTTCGCTAAACGTGTGTTTTATGGATCTTTTGAGTGTTCTATAGCCTAACTGTACCCCTTCTGAGGTAGCTTGCTGCTATTCCTTCATTCTACAAATCAAAATCCTGCCCTAGAGCCTTAAACAGATATATCTTTGCAAATTTAAGCATCTAGTATAGAAGATACTTACTAAGTGCTGCTGCTCCGTAACCCCCCACCATACCAGACCATGTGTTAGGCTGCTGAGGTAGCCTAGCAGGTTGGCTCTGGTGACGGAGCAACTTTACTGTGATGGGGTACAGCTCCAACTCAACCTGGCTACCCCCCTTGGGCAATATAACCTGGCAAAACACATTCAAATACAGTTGAGCCCCACTTAGGTCTTGTTATTGTAAACATCTAGTAAAGGGCAGTGGCAGATTAAGAGCATTAGCGAACCATCACAATTCCTTTAGTTTTTATTTTGATACAGTATTGTTTTATGGGGTTAATATTGTTAACTTTTTGACCATAAATAATTTTAGTTGGACATGGATTAAAATATATTTGTTCAAATGTGGTAATTCATTGCCAATCCATTGAGAAAATTGCAAACCAAGTAATCTACAGTCAGCAGACTCTTAGGCAGCGTAAAAAAAAACTCCCTAACAGTGTGCAAGCCAAATCGTAGCTAAGGAAAACAGGCGCCATGAATAGGCCAAAGAAACTTTTTTGTTCCTCAATGTTACACAGTTCATTGAAATAATTTATGAAAATAGCTGCATCACATATTCTTGAGAGGGCAGAATTCTGCACTAAACACATAGACTTTCAAGTGATCAACAATGACTGAAAATTGGTTTTGAAATGTGTCAGTTTTCAACTACATAGATTTAAGATTAACCTGACAATGTCCAATGCAACATTTTTGTATGACTAGTGCCAAATATAAATCTTGAACTATAAAGGTTTCCAAAGACAAAAATTACATATTAAAATAATTAAATTGCACACATCAAAAGTTTTAAATTACCTGGCGGGGTAGTGCAGGGGACCCTCCATACCACTGAGAAAGAGCTTTCCACAATGAATCGGGAACCAGTTCAAAGTCTCGGGATCGAATCCCAAAGTTCTTCTTGAGCTTTCCTCCCTCTCCAGTCAGACTATTAACCTGTAAATCAAATATTCCAATGATTAAATTAAAAATGTCTACGAAAAAGTTTAGTCTCTGACACTTAGTATTAAATATGACAAAAATTATATAATTATGAATGGTTTAGTTTTAAAATTATTTCTTGGGCTACCTATGATAAAGTTAAGAAGTAGAATACTCCATTGAAAAAAATTAGGCGGTTTTAGGGGAAGAAATGCATCCCCTCCACTTGATCCTATCTTTAAAACAATATGTCAACAGCTGAGGTTTGCCGAAACGTCTATCAGCTGCAACATATACATCAAGCAAAAAAGGTAGTGGGGGAATATCCATTGAAACCACCTAAATTTTGTGAATGGACTATAATAAATTAGTCACAATTAGAGTCACATTAATTAAAATGGCATCAACATACCAAAATTGAGTGTTTTATGAATTTTCAAGGACCTTACCTAGCAATTTTCAAGGATACATTATGTGTAAAATAAGGTCAATTCTCATTTGCCTACCATAGGTCTTCTTTTTAGGGAGTTTAGGTTAAAGTTCTTGGTTGCTCTCACTACGATCGTCAGTTTATTTGGTGAGCACAGGGGTACATTATCTTTACCATCCTTTTAAGTGAAACTTCATTTTTCATGCTCAAACTCTCAAATAACCGTTACAAAGATAATATTTGTTCCAGCTTTCAGAAATAAAATAAAATAAATGTATACAGCTGTGAATGAAGTACCTCAAATTTTGTAAATAGATTAAAATAGCAATGTAAATAGAATTTTTTGCTTGTATATATACTTTCTGATTATATTATACTTCCTGTTATTAGTTTTATCTAGTAATAGTAAATTGACAAGAGTTATCCTGTAAAGCAGTATATACTGAGGAACGCTTGCTAAATAAAGGCATATTTGATTTGATTTGAAAGATGAAAATTATCTTTTGGTTCAGACCATATATCACTTCTTAAAGTTAATAACAATTGGGGTTACACTATACAATTCTGTGGAATTTCGGGGATATCTGGGACCCAACTGAAATATCAGGGACTTTATCAGGAGATCGGAAATATCTTGGAGGTGTAGCCTCTCTCATTCAAAACAACTACAGTGCAATAAATTTAAGCGGAAAATAGAAAAGTATTGACACACTTGATAAATACTAATACAATAAACACATCTTAGTCAATTGTTAGCTATATTACTACCTTGAACATAGGAGGAGCAACCAGACCCGAGTTGTCGATGGGTCCAGGCTTGACAGGGTAGCGCCGGATGGGTCTCGGTGACTGGGATGGACTAGGAGTCACACTGAAACACAAATACCAGTTACTGAATCTAATTCAGTTAAGTATTTAGATAAACAACAATAGTGGTATTTGAACTAAAAATTTACCCTTTTTTTATCTTTTGTAGAAGAGTAAATTGTGTAAATTAAAATTGTAGCCTTAAATGCTATATTTATTTGTTATTAAGAAAAACAATTATTACCTAAGACTAAGGCCTGGAGGCTCTGATGGTTCAAGAGAGGTTATTCCAGTCACCACCACCTGAAAACAAAAAAAGATAATTAGGTGCAAATATTATTAATAATTGCATTAGTTGAAGTTACAAAATCTCTTTATGGACTTTGTAATATGTATGAAAAACTGCCAGTTGAAACTATTACAATCCTTTACTCACCCTAGTTCAAATTATATTTAGCACTTAATGAATTAAAGGTACGGTATCTAAGTGTAAGCTTGAATTCATATGAAAGCAGAAACAATTTAAGGACATAAAGACTTATAAAATGTTTTGGTGCAATTCCAAACAAATTAACAAGACTTTTATGGAACTTCATGTTCTGTGACTCAAAGTCAAGAGGTCTCATGGAGCTTGTTGTAAGTCCTTATACACTGTAATCAAGTTTCATGAAATTGGAAGTTAACGCATGTTTCTTGCCTCGTGTTATTATTATATGAGGTGGATGACTTTATGATCAACTATTAAGTTAGTTCTGTTAAATTTTACTAAAAAATGTAAATGTAAATTATTAGGTGCGGTTGTTTACACAAGGTATGTAGTTGTGTAAGTTTTCAGTTAAACCAGCCAATTCCACAGAAAAATACATAAATTTATTTCCCTAAACTAAAAGTACCGTACTTGTATGTAATGGTATATGTATACAGAGTATAATTCAATGATTTAACTTACTGGAGAGTTCTCAAGTGCCAGGCAGTTTTCTACGATAGTCCTCTTATTGCCTGTCAGTCGTTGAGCTACTCGCTTCAGGCTGCCAGTTGGGTTGTAATCTGATGATATAATATTGTTCAGAGAAACTTCACTGCCACTCATCTAAATGACACCACAAAATGACATATATCAATGTAAGAACCAGAATGGTAAATGAAATATAGTCGATGAATATTTGTTTTGATTGAGGACAACATAGTTACAGTTCTAACAGTTGGATTTGAAAATGAAACAATGAAACTCCAGAACTAGTGATTAAGAGTCCTTGGAGGCAAGGGGCCATCTTGGATAGTTTCAAACAGCTGCTGAAGGGTTAACTATCATCCAAAAATAGTTTTTTAACACCAAAGTCATTATAATGTAAATATCTAGTACACTGTGAGATTAGAAATGTTGTTTGTTGTTTTGAATGTATTGCCAGGGAGTCCATGAAAGCCAACGGCCATCTAGGATTTGCCTGTCATAAGAGCAATGTTAATTTTGTTATTTTCAAAAATCCGCTGAAGATTTTTAGTTATTTACCACCTAAAAATATTTGTTCAAATATCAAAGTTATTGTAATTAAAATAACTAGTATACTGAGAGATTGAAAATTTGCTTTGTAGATTCTAAATTGTTTTATAAGTTAAAACGTCTAGGCTCCATGGACTCTTAACGGAGAATTGAGGACTACACTAGGTATGCATCTTATTTTATCGAGACTAAAGTAACATACCAATGAATAGGGCAGAATAAACTAATCTATTTACCACCTAGTATATGCTCTCCCAATTTACTAATTAAATTGTGTTTGATAATTTAGTCATCTATTTCTAAGCTATGTGTATTTCAACATCCAGCCCCACCAACAACTTATTAAACATAAAATAACTATTTAAGCCATCTATAGTTCGTTTGTGATGATTATTTAGTAAAGGTGATTCCGAAAACTAGGCCCAAGTATCCAACACATAAGCAAGCTCGCAATTGTAGCACAAAGAATAATGTGTAGTGACAAATTCACAAACCAACAACATAGTTTACTATAGGAGCAGGAAAAATATCGATTCAGGTCAAAACCCTGTTTGACATATTTAATAAAGTATTTGACTCGTCATATCAATTAGTAACAGTGCTCGATTTGTAAAAAATGACGAGCCGGAACTGTAACTTATTTAATGTGATTAGCACCTATTTATGACAATATTTTTATCATTCCGAAAGAGAAGTACCGGAACTCTGTTCCCCCACAAATCGAGCACTGCTTAGTAGCATTGGCACTAGGAATAGTTAGGTAAAAACTCACACTTCCAAGGTTCCTGGGGTAGCCGACATACTCCAACCAAGACACCCACCAGTCCATGGCTATCAGGTACCAGAACTGACCAACACTGTAGCCCCTCCTCTCCTCCCTCTCTAACCACCCTCTGACAATCTCTCCTTCCTCTTGACTAGACGTGGGTCGCAGTCCCAGCACGATATGACACACCTGTCACATACAACTGTATACTACCTCAGTTGCATAGCTTAATATGTGAGAAGAATGTGAAACGAGATAATTGGTGAGGAAATGGAGTTGATGGTAATAAAGAGAAGGTTGAGAGGAAAACCTAGAAGATACTGGTGTGACGGGTAGTCACCAAAAATTATTTTCTAAATCTTGGGGTTATATTTCAAAAGTAAAAGACCTGGTAAATGGATTTCACAATGCATATACCAGTGTCAGAACATTGGCATTTAGTAGACAGAATTCTTGATGACACGTAGCTTGCTCAATCGACCGACCACAAAAACCGTAGACTTAGCAATTGTACTTTGGAGAGACTGAGGTCGGAGTTGACCGAAATGAAGACACTTGGCCCCAGTCATCTATCGGGGACACTTCGCCGGTCTCCGGGTTTTTGGTAAGGCGATTTCTTTATTAATATTTAACTTTATAATTTTTGTGATTGTCCAGGCTAACTTAACCTTTTAAAGTCAGTGATTGATTGATACTAATCGTAATCAATTTTATAATAATTGATTTCATATATAATTTGTGTGAATAAATATAGTGACTATTAAATTCCTGTTTGAATATATTAACGTGTCAAACAGAATTATAATTATTAGAGTTTGATATATAAATTTCATTTGCTTAGGCCTACTTAAATAAAAGGAGCCTGTAATTATTTTATCATCCATTTTTATTATTGTCTTTATTATTATCTTTATCATATTGTCCATCCACTTTATTTGAATAATGATTAAACATTCTTTTACCTCTCACTAAAGAATTCTTATTATTTAAATCGATCCCGGTTACGCCCCCGGTCACAATTTCAATCGTGGCAAATGGTGGAGACAGCCGTGTCTTAAGTTTTTACTTAAGAATAGTTCTTTTGTGTGTACATCAATAATTTCTTTTGTTTGAGTTACATCTTATATGTCTATAATTGTTAGGCCTTTGTTATTATTACCTGGACAATCGTTGTATGTTTTTGTGCATGCTAGAAAGTACGTAATTTCTATTTAGTGTTGTGTTTTATAAAAGTATTATCTATTTTTGATTTTGGGCGCATGATAAGCGATTTAAGCCGTTTGATATACCCTCGTTGAGAATAAATAGCTTGACGACAGTGAGCTGCAGCTCATGCTTAATTCTTGTTGTTAGGCCTCTGTATTAATCTAGTTTTAAAGTTGTTAGCCACTCTTTCGTTTTGTACGTCTTTTACCAGGTATTAGGGCTCGGTTATAATTAGCTTATTTACACGAATATTTTTGTTTTGTATTATTGAAGATTGCTTATCCGTTTTATTTAAATGACGATTGATAACATTAACGCTGTCTAAAGTTGAATTTTATATCTGTTTATGTCTTTTATTTTGTACCTATTGATAGGATGCGATAGGCTTCTATAGCGAGTTTAAAATTAGTAATGTGTTTCTTTAACGTAGGAATGTGTGGATTGATTTTGTTACATTAGCTATGTGAATTATTTTATTTAATAAATTTTTCATGTCATATAACAAAACTATGTGTAATGGCGAGTAACGGACGCACTACGTTTGTCAGACATTAAAAGCTGTAATAGAAAGGAGGTATTAAACTGGTATAAAAATTTAGGGCTAACTTATCCGGTAGACGCTGATCTAGACTATTTAAGAGGAAACCTTAGGTTGTTGAAACTTAAGTACGATCAAGATTCCAAACTTACTTTGTATAGTTCACCAAGTGAGTTCCACACTTATGATTCAGTTAATGAGTCTGATAATGAGATAACTTTAGATAATAGACAACTTCCATCTACCGCTAACCCCGCCCCCGTATATCAAAATACTGACATCCAGACCTTAGGTGCCGGCTCGGAATCGCATACCGTCGACCAGACCAACAGTTCACTTCCTACGTTTGAACCTTCAGAAGCCGTCACTATGAATAGGGAAAAATCTCCTTTTTATCAACCTGGAAATTTCACGGGAAAAGCTGGTCAGGATATTCACATATTTTTTAACAAATTTGAGCGTGCATCCAAGATAAACGCATGGGATGATAATAAAAAGGTCTTATATCTTCCCATGTATCTGGAAAACGCTGCATTGAGTTTTTTTGAAAATCTTGAAGTTAAAAACCCTCAGGCTACCTATGAAGCTTACAAAACTGCTTTCTTATCGAATTTTGCACCGGTTGAAATTAAAGAACTGCTTATGCTAGAGCTAAACTCACGAGTCCAACAACCTAATGAAACGGTAGCAGAATATACTGCTGATGTTGAAAAACTCTGCCGGCTGGTCGACTCGACAATGGACGAGTCCAAAATCTGCGGTCATATTCTAAAGGGGTTAAATCCTGCGATGTTACAGCAAATTTCTATTTTGGATAATACCACTCTAGGATTGTTAAAGGCGAACATTGCTAAATTTGAGCATGGTAATTACTTGTTAAGGCGTAGATTTGGGGTATTAGAACCTAAGCAGTCCAATCATGCTGATATTGAAGCCAAATTAAATTCTCTTACTGAAATGGTGCACGAGATACATGTTTCTGCTAAAACCGACAGAGTTAAACGCTATGGTAAAGATAGAGTCGACGACAGATCCTTAGACGACAGCAGGCGATCTCGTAGGGATATCTCGCCCTATACTCCACATAGCTCTCGTAGTTTACCACGTCATGAAGAAAATAGGTCGTCTAGTTCCCAAAAGTATCACCGATCACCTGCCAGGCGAGGAGAATAGGAGACCAAGTTATCGCCATTCCCCCGCCCGAACCAGCTATAATAATCGAGATGAAAGAGGACGTAGTCCTTACCGATCTGAAAGCCCTTACCACAATTCAAGGTCTTATACTCAGCTTAATTCGTATAGTGATCGTGACCGCTATCACCGCAGGGAAAATGTACATTATGGGGGTCGACCTGGTAAACAGGTGCATTTCTCTAACTTCCCCAGTCAGCCTTGTAGGAATTGTCATAACATGGGACATTTCACTGTTGACTGTCGTGCCCCTCGTTATAAAAAAAACTAATTAGGCCGGGGGATGATGAACCTCCCCCCGCTGGCCAAATACCTCGGAAGTTTAACGACAGTGTACATAGCATAGATAATGATGAGTGTAACATTTACAATCCATGCGTGCAAAAGCAATATCAGCAAAAGCATGTAAGGTTCCTTTCTGACTTTACAAAACAAATGAAAGCGGAAAGTGTTTGCAGCTCAGTTGTTACTCGGGGAATCAAGAAAAGATATCCTTTGCATGTGAACGGACTAATGGAGGGCGGTGAAGTAGCTATACTCTTAGATTCTGGAGCTAATATTTCATGTGTAAATAGCAAGGAGCTCAGAGAATCAAAATATATTATCAAGCCAACTAACGCACTCCTCACTACAGCGGGTAAAACCCATTTAAATGTGTTAGGTGAAGCAGAAGTGGAATTTCGCATAGACTCTAAGTGTTTTGTACATAATGTGTTTGTAGTAGAGGAACTAAATTGTTCTTTACTGCTAGGAAATGATTTCTTGTCTCAGTATTGTACAGTACTCGATTATGATAAGCGAACAGTTACGTTCTCGTGCCAGGGTCAACGTACAGAGTTGCCGATGCTAGGTAACTGGACACGCACTTCCGCGCGCAATGATGAGTCAGCCGCTACACGTAGTGCCCCAGTACAAATAGTCTCAGTCGATTTATTCGATGCTCCCCAAAACTTTACACTAGATGCATCCAACGTGACTCATACTTGGGAACACTTTTCCACGAGCCCCAAAACGTGACTTTAAGCCCTATTTTTAATGGTATCTCTGATGTTGTAGAATCTGATATTCTAACGATAGTACCTAAATCGGACCCTCTACTTCCTACCTTCTCAGGAAGTATAAATGATAGTGGCGGGAACAAAATAGATATAAACCCACAGTTAACGCCTTCTCAATTCAAATTAGCACAGGAGCTAATAAATTCTTACAGGGACGTGTTTGCTAAGGACGATACAGACTTAGAGGAAGCAAATATTCCCCCGTACGAGATAAGAGTTAAGTCAGAGGAACCCGTAGCCCTACCTCCCTATTGGTTAGGCCCCAAAGAAATGGAAGAATTAGATAGACAGGTGGACGGTTTATTAGAAGCTGGTGTTATTGAACACTGTCAGAGCCAGTATGCTGCACCTACTTTCATGGTGAAGAAACCTGGGGGAAAGTTTTGTTTAGTACATAATTATAAGAAAATTAACGAACTAATAGTGGATGACAAATATCCTTTCCCCCGAATAGATACTATCCTTGAGACTTTGGAAGGTGCGTCATTCTACTCTCAAATGGACGTAAATCAGGCATTTTTTCAACAGCCAATAGCCCCCGAGCATAGGGATTATACAACTTTCATAACCCACAAGGGGTTGTATACCCGTCTCCCTCAGGGAATGAAAACTAGTCCAAATGCTTTCCAGCGATCAATGAACAGGGTTTTTGCGGGATTGCTGTTATCACGGAATAGTTTTATACATTGACGACTTGGTCGTGTATGGTAACACTTTTGACTCGCAGCTTAAGAGTTTAGAAGAGACATTCAAAAGACTTAGGACCGCTCGTTTGAAACTTAAGACATCTAAATGTCATTTTTTCTACACTAAAATAGAAATATTGGGGCATGAAGTACAGCCCAATGGTATAAGGCCCCTCCAGGAAAATATTCGGGCTATACAGGATTTCCCCCGTCCCCGTAAAGTCAAAGACGTGCGGAGTTTTCTGGGTACTGCGTCATACTATAGGAAATTCATCCCCAAGTACAGTGAAATCGCTCATCCGTTAACGCAGTTAACCAAGAAGGAGCACTGCGATTCGCGTAGCTTACCATGGTCAGAAGAGCATGAAACGGCCTTTAAGGCGTTAAAAGATGCGTTGACTACTCCACCCTTACTAGCTCATTTTAGTGACAACCTTGACACAGTGGTTATGTGTGACGCAAGTCGAGTAGGAGTCGGTGGAGTGCTGTGTCAGTACCAAGTGGACGGAACATTGCGACCCGTTGCTTACGTCAGCAGAACGTTGAAGAATACGGAGAATCGTTGGACTGTGTCTGAATTAGAACTTTTAAGTGTGGTGTTTGTAGTGAATTATTTCCGTTCGTTGTTACTAGGTAGACATTTTACTATTTACAATGACCACGCTAGTCTTCAGTATTACAAGAACATTAAGAATTTGAGTTCTAGGCTAAATCGGTTGGCTATGAAACTGATTGACTTTGATTTCACGATAACACATAGGCCTGGTGCGGTAATGAGGGTCCCGAATGGACTGAGCAGGAACCCGATCAACGTGGAAATAGACAATGAAGCAGTTGCTGAGGAGATGCTGATAAACCTGGTCACTCAAGTTAACATTCACAAACTCCAGTTAGAAGACGAGTATCTCTTAAGCATTCGTAATGCACTTCATGATCCTGTAGGAGCACGTGGGAAGATTAGAAGAGCCTCTAGAATGTATGTCTTAAAAGACGATATTCTTTACTACAAATCCAACTTTAGGAATGGGAACAAACTTTTGCTAGCCGTCCCAACTGCTCTAGTAAAAGATATACTAAATGCATTCCATGATAGCTTATCTTCTGGTGCACATTCGGGAATAACAAAGACAGCGTACAAAATAGGAATGCGATACTATTGGCCGACAATGAATAAAGACATCGCTACCTACGTCCGATCTTGTTTAGATTGCCAACTTAGGAAAACCGACAAACGAAAGCCTGCGGAGATACAGATAGATTGTGAAGATACAGATAGATTATCTCGGTCCCCTTCCTAGATCCAACAAGAAACAATATATAATTGTGGCAACGGATGTTACCACAAGATACGCAGTCACCAAAGCCGTGGAGAAAGCAGACGCAAAAACTACAGTAAGATTCATATTGGAAACAATACTACCAAGATTCGGGTGTGTTCAAGAGGTCCAGACTGATCGAGGAACACACTTCACTGCGGACATCTTGAAACAGCTTCTCGACGCCCTAGGAATCCAGCATAAGAAGAGTTCGGCATATCGGCCACAGTCACAGGGTTTCACGGAGCGCTTCAACGGGACGCTGTTGGACATGCTTCATTTCTACTCTAACAGCCAGCATACCAACTGGAGCAAGTTTGTGGACAATGTGACATTCGCCTACAACACGTCAATACAGGAATCCACCGGACACTCACCATTCTATCTGCTGCACGCTTATGAGCCTCTTCATCCCATCGATTTGGCCATCCTCCCAACAATCCCGGACAACGACATCTTAGAAGCAGTCAAGAGAATCCACGATGTGCGAGAGAAAATCCCAGACATCCTCCACAAAGCCCAGCAGCGCCAGAAGACCCGTCATGATGCAGGACACACACCACGGCATTACGATCCGGGTGACAAGATACTTCTAGCAACTCCCCACTCTAGCGAAGGATCAAAGAAATTGGCCCCCTCCTATCGTGGACCATTTGAAGTGAGGAAGAAGCTCTCGGACCTCAACTACGAGATTCATCTTCAAAAGGCGGGAAAATGGACAACAGACGTAGTCCATGTAAATAGGATGAAACCATTCTATGATAGAAGAGAGTAGTTGTAGAGTAGCATAGTTATATCAATTAAGTAGGGACTATTATTTGACGTAAATAAATTGTATTTGGATTTTTCTCTTAGGTAGTGTAGTAAATATAATACGTAGAATGAAAGGTTTTATGTTATACTATAGCAAATCAACAATTGGTTAAAGCAAATCTCCTAAAAAAAGGTACTAGGTATTTGTAAAAAGGATTATTTAATAGTAGGTAGATTTAGGTGTAATACATTGTAATAATATAGGTCAACAATCCACACATATATTCATTAATTAGAACATTAATTTAGTGTTTGCCCTACTATCACACAATCACTGATCTTCATGAATAGGAAAATTATAACAGCAACAGTTTATAATTGGCATATTTTTTATCTCTTTTTACTTTCGAAACTGTTGCTAATAATTAATTATTTTTTTGTTCGCCTTGCCATAAAACCATAAAAAAATTAAAAAAAACAACTTTCTTTATATTACATAACATACATACAACCACTAACACATGTTGTTTCTTTCTGTTTACATATATCCATGGGAGCTGAGATGCCAAAGACAGTCAACAACACATCGCTGAGTTGCACATAGTCCGCATGGTCGCCGCCACACCCGACACTAGTCTACTATCTACGCTGACGCCACCAGTCTTTGCCACAACCTAATCCACGGCCGCTCTACATCTCTACCGTCTTCTCATCAACACCAATTAAGAATCTAAATTTGACATTGTTAATTTTCAATTGCACAGGTTCCTTTTAATAGACATGGGGACCATGTCTAACTGGGCGGGGGTAATATGACGGGTAGTCACCAAAAATTATTTTCTAAATCTTGGGGTTATATTTCAAAAGTAAAAGACCTGGTAAATGGATTTCACAATGCATATACCAGTGTCAGAACATTGGCATTTAGTAGACAGAATTCTTGATGACACGTAGCTTGCTCAATCGACCGACCCACAAAAACCGTAGACTTAGCAATTGTACTTTGGAGAGACTGAGGTCGGAGTTGACCGAAAGGAAGACACTTGGCCCCAGTCATCTATCGGGGACACTTCGCCGGTCTCCGGGTTTTTGGTAAGGCGATTTCTTTATTAATATTTAACTTTATAATTTTTGTGATTGTCCAGGCTAACTTAACCTTTTAAAGTCAGTGATTGATTGATACTAATCGTAATCAATTTTATAATAATTGATTTCATATATAATTTGTGTGAATAAATATAGTGACTATTAAATTCCTGTTTGAATATATTAACGTGTCAAACAGAATTATAATTATTAGAGTTTGATATATAAATTTCATTTGCTTAGGCCTACTTAAATAAAAGGAGCCTGTAATTATTTTATCATCCATTTTTATTATTGTCTTTATTATTATCTTTATCATATTGTCCATCCACTTTATTTGAATAATGATTAAACATTCTTTTACCTCTCACTAAAGAATTCTTATTATTTAAATCGATCCCGGTAACGCCCCCGGTCACAATTTCAATCGTGGCACTGGAATACAGGCTGAAAAGAGATTTTGATAAAAGAGGGAGTGAGATGGTAGATGGGAGAGAAAGAGGAACCTTCAAGGGCTGGGAATAAGTTATTGGAAGAGGATATGTTAAATTTAAACATTATATTGTATTGTATTGAGGATATGTTGTATATGTTATATATATACCGGTAATGCAAATGCCCAATAACTTTTTAAGCTAAGGAGGAAACAGATACAACTACTTAAATGAACAAAATAAAATAAAAATACACTCTTGTTTACTAACAAAAAGTCTGAATCAAAGTTCAAATTACTAAAAATATTACTGAACACAGGATGTTGATAGCACAATCAAACACAAAAGTGTATTACAGTGAGTAATGTACTCACAGCAAACTACACAAAAGGATCATATACACCTCAGTACCGTATGATAAAGGTTATATGTTCAACCAGCAACATAAATGTTTTACAAATAAGTGTAAAAAGAGCCATACCACTTTAACTTTGCCTGTCTAAAGAAATTTTTTTTAACTTCAATCATTACCGTACTTATTTTCATTGTTGAAGAACCAACCTGAAATAGAAGGCATAGAAAGTCCATAGAGAGATTATTCTCCATGGACCAAATAAGATACTCCTCAATAGTTAAGCCTTTGGGTGAAGCACGCTTCCTCAACTCTGACAATACTTCTTCTTCTTCCTTACTAGCGTCACATCCTGAAATCAATTAATCATGTCAGTAGATTTTATACTGTTATTTATTTCAAATTCTTAAGAACTCTCACATTAACACACTAATGTCTTGTATTTGGACAAAAATGACATAATTTGCACTTAAGAGAATTAAATAAAACTAAGAGAGAACAACAATTTTTTTGAAAAAAACTTTTGTGGAAAAAAATTAAAGGAAAACCATTGGAGCTGTCAAATTGATGTTAAAGTTCATCATTAGTTGTTTTAGTATGAGTTGTGTTTGAAGGATTTATTAAAAAGCTGTGTGATGCATGATCAATAACAAAAACAACATAAATGTGGTAATCATATTTACAAAAAGTCATGAGCTTTGAAAAGTCTATGTTCAAATTTGAATTTAAAACGGTATACTATGGTAACATCTTATGAATTGCTTACCCAAAGAATCAAACACTACAATCTGAAAATAGTCAGCTAAGGGAGTATTCATGGTGCAATAAAATTTATAAATGTGCTATTTTATAGAATTTTAGCCTTGCATTAACTACAGTACCCCAAGGTTTAAATATATTTAAATAGTTTAAAATCAATATTTAACATACTAATGTAGCCTATTACAAAATGTGTGATTATTTACCCATTCAGATTCTCATAATGATTACATTTGCCAAGCATTATGACTTTTTACCACTTTACGGTAGCAATTTTAAAAACTCAATTGGCTATAATTTATAATGATTTATAAATAAAAATAATAATTTCTTTTGTTACTTAAACCTACAATTAAGTTATTAATATTGCTTAAATATTAATACTTATAATTGTCAAATTTCAGAAGTCGTTAAAAATTAATCATTTTTGGAATCTATCAAGAAATCTTTGTAAGATTTTGGGGTTTTCACTTGACGTCTCTCAGGATTTGATGCATAAAAGATCCTGTCAACCTAATTTAAAAAAAATCTATAAACTTGTATTTTTAAATACAAATTTAAATGCAAAATGTCACTAAATTAAATACTACTAAGTCTTACCAAGTTTTGGTGTCATAGTGTGGTTCTCGTTGCGTACGTGAAGTAGGACTGTCACCATATGTTTGATCTCGCTTTCGGAAAGATAACCATCACGATCAAGGTCAAAAACCTTGAAGCAGACTGAAAACAAATTTTTGACATGAACAACTATAAAAAGAAAACTAGTTTCAATGATTTTAAAGATCATAGCCAGTGATAATTTGTTAAAATTTAATTGGAAGATAACTAATTCTACCAAAGGGAAATTCAATCTTATATGTTTAATTGTTTGGGTTTCAAATCAATAGACCACACGTGAATTTTTAGGAGTTGCATCAACCCACATGGGTAAAATATTTACTGAGGGCACCTAACTGCCTAAATTGTTTTCTGATTGCGTTTAAGGTCCTGATGTGGCCATATACAAGGGTTTACTGTAAATATGTAAAAAATAAGTTAAGGTGATCTTGATTACCTCTAATTGGACATCAATAATTGTAAGCTCATCCAAAATGAATAGGTCTCTTTGAACATTGGAGATAAAAGGGAAAACTCACACTTTTGCCGTTCTGCCATCGGGCCCCTGGTGGCGGCTGAGATACCACACGCCATCTCCTTGAAGTCTATGTGGTTGTCTCTGTTCTCATCAAAGGCTGCAAAGACTCCAGCACACACAGTCAACGGTACAGGAGGACTTATCAGGGGTCGGAGAGTGTCCAAGTCTAACTTCCCAGTTCTTGATTCCCCCTTCAGAACCCAGTAGCGCTTCTCAAGCTCAATGATGTCCCTCTCTTCCACTGTAACCAAAACTAACTTGTATCAAAAGTGTAAAATATAATAATTTGTTGAATTAAACACCTAAAACCAACAGTCACTACTCTGAACAAATTGGGACCAGCCCTGTTCGGTTTACCAAATTATTCGGATTAGTCTGAAATGTAGTAAAATTACAAAAAAATATAACAATAATATAACAATGTATTTTAGTGACAGCAAATGATCATATCGTTAAATGTTACTCCTCAGTCCTCAATAGTTTTGGCCTAATCGGAGGTCTTAACTTTATTTACTTATGACCAAGTGATAAAATTTTTGTTAATTTTATTTCTATTGTTAAATGTTACCTAACACAATAAGAACTGAACCATATTTTTTTTTGTACATTGAGATTATTTGTTCATAAAGAAGAAGAATAAATTTTAATTTATAACAAAAATAAGTTGCTTTTATCTGCTAAAGAATGAACTTATAACTTATTTTAACATGAATGAAGAGTTACACATAAAAGGTATTTTTGTTGTTATTGTTATTTTAACTTAAAATAAAACTGTTTGTATATTTAAATGAACAAATAAAGAATATGTAAAAAACAATAAGTTATCATCTTCAAATACTTACAATGCCCTACTTTTGATCTTGAAATTCTTTTCTTCTTTGCAGTGTGAAAACCACATGGATATGAAAATTGTTTATAAAACCAACATGAATAATACATTGTTCAGCTCAATGTTTAAAAAACCAACTATAAAATTTAAAATCCATAAAAAGGTTTGATTGTGAAATACGTATGTCTATTTAACACATAACACAGTTCACATTCCTCATTGCCAAGTGCTTCCAATATTCCAGATACTGGATGAAGCCAAGCATTATTAAGATAATCTTGTGCATGCCAAATGTGCATTGTTCAAGCAGCAACGGCAATCGTAAAGATAAACATCATTAAACTGGATGATTTAAGGCCTTCCGATACTTTAGTTTTATCAGCACTAAACGCATCCTATGAACCTACTTTTATCATTTTTTCTTGAAAATCAGAATTGTTTTTGTGATAGTGAAATCATTAGAATTGTGTTAGAAATTTAATTGCTAAAAATATTTAATATTTGTTAGATTGTCTAATCACTGCAATTATTCATGGTGAAAATGCTTTAACAAATGAATAATCAAGTCACTTTCTTATTTGTTTGATATATTTAATAAAGTGTTAATAGGCCTACTTAGTACTTTGTTATGATATATTTAATACCTTTTTATCACTAAAAATATATATGGCTAATTTTTTAGTTTTTATAAACACCATTTAAATTGACTATATCGCACCAAATTTTGAATGACCAAAATTAAAGTTTTTATAAATATATATGTAAAATAATGTATGTAATTTGAATTAGAATTTTTTAGTTTCTGAGGTAATAATATAGGCAAAGTTGAAACGATAATAACATATTTATTTGAATAAGTTAAAACAATTAGGTATGGCAAATGTATTATTTCATCCTATACTATTAAACATTTAATCATACCTAATAAATCTAATATTTTTCAAATATGGTTTGTTTTTTGAAATGTTTTAATGAAAATCCAATCAATACAATTTGAAATCGGTTAATTCTAGAGGCTTGATGCAGCGGAGGGATTTCATTTCTTTGAGTTTCCTGTGTGTTCAAAACAAAACCAGCACAGCAGGGTTAACACCATTGGTTAGGAAAAAATCGAGACGGGCCCCCCTCCCCTCGGATTAACATGGGCATGAACACAGGCACAAGGGACCGAAATAGGGACTGTCCGGAGGGGTGGAAACCCTGCTGCACAGACACTATTATATTTTTTATTACTGTGATAAAGATAGGAACAAATGTCAGTAGATTCCTTGTAAAGCTAGTTTAAACCAAATAGTTTTTTTTATTCAGGGTGAATGAAACAACCCCCATTTTTACCCAGATAGGTGGTTTATCTGAGCATCAGTTCCAGTTGATCCGGTGCCGGTGTCGGTTAAGACAAAGTCTTTTGTAATAGTACAACATTTGTTATACTGTATATAATGAACTTACAGTGTGTAACCCCAGCAAGTGTCTGGTAGAATGTGGGGGTCTCCATTTCATTGCTGATAGTGACTGTACAAGGCTCACACAGAAGCCAACGACTGAGTGAAGTGGCGTCTGGGTACTCCTTCAGCCACTCACGGAACTCTTCATATGTTGCTTGGTCTTTCCTCCTCTGTAATAATCATGTTTAAAAGGTTAACTTGCACAATTTAATAATGCAACAGACTAATCATATATTAAGGATGTAGATAGTTTGACAACTGGTTTAAAGCTAGGTTGTTAAGTTACCAGACAATATATACAATATTCAAAGTTTTCATATTTCTAAAAGTTTAAATTCTGATATCATAAGTCATTTTTATTTGATTTGAAGAGGGATTTTCCACAGTAATATACATTACACAATAGGCCTACTTCATTTCCCTAAATTTAGAAACATGGGAGTGGTGCTAACCACGTAAAAAAGATTAGAGTGAGAAGATAATGAACATTGTAGAATATTATGCTGCATTAGTGCTGTATTTTGATGCTAGACAAGCTTTTAAATATTCTTTGCCTGTTTTTATTTTCCAAAAGAACAAAAATCAATGAAAAACTTCCAGATAGCTTTGAAGATGATTTCATCACTTCTTCAAGACTCCACTTTAATATAAAGAGCACCAAAATACCAAAGAAATTTGTTTTAAAATTATTTATTGCTGATTTTTTTTTTTTTTAATTACAGTAGGACTCCTTGCATAATCTGACTGCAGTCTCCTATCGGTGACAATATCATCACAGTAATATTTAATTGTGGCAAAAATCTGTCCATTATGGACAAATCTTCAGCCGTTATGGTCATCCCCTGTAATCACAGTCAAATCTAGGACATCTTCTGAAGTAATGGAAACATTATCATCGTCTACCGCAAAATCCAGTTTCACTATCCCAGCATGGTCCCGATCCTGTAAGTGTTGGATTAGTGGGGTTGTACTGAATGTTAAATTACACTAAACAGCAGTCAATAAAGCAGTTATAAACTGAAAAGCCAATTCATTTGTTCATTATGGGACCAGCTGGTCTAGTGGTTACAGTGTGGAACAGCTGTCCTGGAGACCTTGGTTCAAATCCCGCCAGTCACCAATGGACTTAATAAGTAATATCGTGGTTTGGAGACAACCTATTTAAAACTTTCTCTAGAGAACTAACTCCACTAAAAGACTTGTGTTTCAAGATAGTACTCCAAATATAAATGAACCTGATTGAACGTACCTCATTGAACAGGCTTCCGATTGAGTCGGGTATATAACCACTCTCACATACATGTAGATGTTTCTGGAATTCTTCTCTGACTACATGAGTGCCACTCTCATTGGAATACAGCATAAACAAAACTGTCGACAAAATAATGAGATTAGTCATCTGATAAAACTGTGTTCTCCAGGATATCATTTTACTTGACAAGTCATAAAAATACAGCTAAAATAAATAAACACCAGCCAAGCATGATTAAATTGTTCAACATGTTTTACTTTCATTACATTTTTACAACTAGCAAACTAGCTTAAATGAGAAAGACCTAAAATGACAAGCTGTTGAATTGGAATGTTTAGTAGGTAATTAAAACCTAAGATTTGTAAAAGTTTAAACAAATCTGTATGTATTATTTTTAAGTTTTTTTGTAGAATATTGGATTTTTGAGGGCCTTAAAATGTTAGAATATCTTAAATAGATAAATTTGTGTAGCCTATTTAAAAATATATATTTTATTTATTTTATTATTGTGGTTCAGGCAATACCAAGATGTTGATAATTACTACCCACTCTTGGTAAGTATGATCTTAACCAAGTATTATCCAAAATAACAATTACAAACGTGGCAAATAATTGGTTTAATCATGAAACCACAAACCAATAACTAAAATAACTTGGAAGCAGCATTGATCCCTGCTCCCATCATCACAATGCAGCGATGGCATGTAGGCGTAAGCCTAACACCTTGGTGACCTAGATTGGATTTCATAGGTTCTGATAACATGTCAATTATCATGCACGGAGGCATGCTTTATCAGTGCATTAGTGGGACTCTAATTCCTACTGTTACAGAACCACTGGAGCCAGATAAAAAAATATGTGATCAAACTCCTGTATTTTCAGTTAGCAATAAGAAAATTCAGAGCTGAAATGAAATAATGAATTTAAATAACTTTAAAACTATTTCTAGGTATAACAAAGCTTGACTCAAAAATATTTAATTTAACAAAGAAAAAGAACAAATTGAATCTGGAAAATTTTAAGAGTATAAATGGCAAAAATATTGAAAATGTGCTATAAATATTTCAATTATTTATTTAGTGATCTGAATATTTCGTCTAGGTATACTTTAACTGAATATATTTATATTTCTGAATATAAAAGCATGGTTATAGACTGTACAACTGTAAATTTTCATTTGGGAAAATGGTTTTTAAAATAGCACCTTGCTTTACATATGTCAATCAACAAAATTGGCTGTTTTAGATCTTGAAATCAGGGGAGGGAGGGGGTAGCTGTTCCACAACAACACTACAACTATAGCGTCTTGGTCTTCCAAAATATTTTTTAGGAATTAAATGTAAAAATCATGGATTTGATACAATTTTTGAAGGAAATATTGATAAACAGTTGTTATTCTTCTGATTCTAAGGTTCTGTGGATTAAGTTACAGGTTACTTAAAAATCAATGTATTTTATATAACTTTAAGAAAAATGAATTTACTATCCGTGAAACTATCTCATTTTACAAATTTTTTTTGGAACAGAAAACTTCCTTTATGGTACAGTGATGAATTTAATGTTTATGAAAAATCTTTTACAATCAAATATCTTTTAATTCACAAAGTTGGAAACTTGTATCTTAAAGTTTCTTACGCTCAGCAATGATGTTTTAAAATATTAAAAAAAAATTAATTGAGAACCAATTTTTAGTCTATTGAAGAACTCAATAGGGGTTAGGCCTAGATTAAGAGAAAATAAAAAATAAAATAGTGGATTTGTTATTGAGATTGCATAGATCACAATTCTTAAAAGATTACTTTCCAATAGAACAGTGAGGGGGGGGGTTACCGCTACTGATTAACAGGGCAGATAGTTATCTTTTGTACAACAAAAACATAAAATTCACAATATAACATGATTGGCATGCCTGTCACAGCATATCAGTAAATCGTTCAATCAGATAGTTTTTTCATTAACTTTTTAACAACTACTGTATTGTTAGAAAAAGTTCTAAATAATTTTTTGATTGAAATTAAATATTATTTTATGGTGAAAGGGAAGTCACACTCAAGTACCACACCATGATGTAACATGCCACACTTAGTACAATATAAATTACATTATCTCAATGTGTACTCAGGTTAACTTTTCAAACAAAACACTTTCACAAAACATTTTTGATGACGCAAAACAATGAAAATCAGTAATTTTGGGTGTTTTCTTTAATATTAAAAGATTATAATTTCCCGGTTTCTTACAAATTCAGGTGCAATTCACCGATTTTACCCTGGTCATCAGAATTCACATACAATTACTGGCTTCCAAGTTGGCTGGACACATTGATAAATATTTGGTCGACAAAAATTTGATTTACTCTTCAAATTAATCTAAGTAATCGATTTGCATAAAATAGGAATGAAAGACTCTATTGCAATTTTTTAAATACTGTAGGTCTATGCTATAAAAAATACCGTCTCCATATCTGATAACAAACAAGAGCATTTGAGTTAAAATAGGGTTTAAATTTGATTAAAATTAGTTAACTGAACCTTAGATACAATCTTACATTTGATTTTCTCCTCTTCCCGACCACGAGTGATAAGAACAAGTCCACATAGCAGTTCTTTAAGAGCAATTCCTTTGGTTGTCCCTCCACAAGCTGTGTAGATGTACTGGAAAAAATCAGAAAAAATTAAGCTTGACCAAAAACCAACTACTGAGGTAAGTTTACTGAAATAGTTTCTTGACATCATAAGCGGATAAACTTGTTTATACAAAATTCTGTTGAAATTGTATCTTTAACTTTGATTTTTATTCCTTTAACTTTTAATAATTATTGTCATAACAAAAACCTTGATGTTTAATTTTGAGTTAAATAGGCCTACTTCTTTGATTCTCTTTACATCAGTGTAAATATAATCTCTATTCATAAATATAATTTATATCAAGAATCTTGTCCCTATTAATTAGATCTGATTCAGTAATTTAATTGTTTTAGCAGCTACCAGTTACTGCAAAGTTAAATTTGTTTTATCAACAATTTCGAGACAAAATAAACTCAAACTAATACTAACATATTTTATTATCATATATATTTTCATATTAGCTAGTATAGCAATATAATATTTTTACTTTAAGTGGTTCTAAGTTGTTATATTTTATTATAAGTAATCTTTTATTATTCCATTTTGTTACACTTATTTGCCAAATTTTTTGAAGATATAATAAGTTGTATGGCCTAAACAAGCTGGGTATATAAAGTAATTAATTTATCAAGATAATACAGGAGAGGAGACAATATACTTCATTTACCATTTTTACTATCTTGGTAACTAATTGGTATAGTTAGCAATGAAATATGTAGTTTATCTTTATAAGCTGATTTGAATGAATCAAAAGTTTTTTTGAAACTTAAAAAGATAAGGGTTTTGTATTATTATTTCATATAATTGAATAGTATCTTAATTTATTAGTTTGACACATGTAGACTTTACCATCTTAAAAGTATTGTACATAATACCAGTAGGCCTACAGTAGAACCCCTCATGTCTGACAATGGCGGGACCGAGACATGGTCGGAACGGCCAAAAGGTTGGTTATCAGGAGGAGCAAGAAACTCATTTTGCAAGTAAGAAACTTCATTAAAGTGTTCTTATAAAATATTAATTCAATGTGATAAATCATTACTATAAATAGCCTAATACTATAGGCATACTGCAATTCATATACATCACAATGTCACAATTTTATCGCAGTAATATCGATCTTTACGGACGAGTGCTTCAATTGCAATATACCACAATCGTTAAATTTCAGCAGAGATTGATTTTCTGACCTAACGTTCTATCTCTCGATCGAAAATCTCGAGGTCGTTTAGAGGCTCAAAAATCAAGCTGCTAGAAGGTACCTTTGTAGATATGTAGACTGTAGCTTTTAACACTTTGAATGCGGCCTACATTATTTAGCGTAGTGCGGGACTAGTGCATGCAGCGGACTACGTTAAATAATGAAGCACTCCCACCTCTAAAGTATTGTTCCAGTGTGAGACGTTGTTTCACTTGCCACTTATTGTGCCAGTTTTATACTTCAATCCGGTATAGTTTGTTTTCAGATCCGACTATTTTTTCGGTTGTGGACTGTTCCACATTTAGTGTAGTGTGGGGGTTTGGCTTGGATTTAGTGACACTTAACGGTAATGACTGTGGTGTAACATTGTGGAAGGAACCTAACCTCATAATTGTGCTTAGTGCAATTTTTGCGGTATTTTTTCATGGTGTATTCGGGGTTTTCGCCCCTGCTTTTTCCCTCCACTTGGTAATACTAGTTTAGTGCAGCTATTTGTTGGGTTCCTATAAAACTACGTCCACAACGACTGGAGCCTGCAGTTCATGCTATAATATGGCTTTCATTTGGATTAAACTAAATTTAAACGATTTCACACACTCATTCACACAGCGGATTAGCTGTTCCCGCACCCGACCACAGCCTGTCATTGCGCTACTGCAGCGGTGCCTAAGGTCGGATATACTGAGGAGTCGGTTATGCCAAGGTCGGATATGAGGGATTCTACTGTAGTTGTTGGCTGCTTGCTGTTGATTGTTAAATAGATATTAAATCATTTAAAAAAATACTTTGTAATTTTAATTCATTTTCTTTTATGATTGAATTGATTTTCATGAAGTACCGGTAAGTAACTTAATAAATTGTTGTTTTTGTTTGTAAGTTACGAACCCTGGAACTGCTGATTAGATTTTCCAAAATGCCACCCACAGTATTTTGCTGCAGTTTACATAGTTCACTAACAAATGAATTAAAAATATCATTTACAAGGCAGTTGTACTGTATTACACATCTTTTTTTTTAAAAAAAAAGAGAATATTGTTAAATCATTCGTTTGGAAATAAAACCAAACCACAATTGTTGACCTCTTTGTTTATATGTTGTAAAAAAATATTTCATACCTACTATAAATGTTTATTGGTAAAAATAACCCAAAAATAAGTATAACATAGGTATACATTTTGTTTCATCAGCTGACTAGGAATTGTCAAGTCAGCAGACAAAGAAAACAAGACCTAAATTATGCCAACCCAATAAAAATATTACAGGCTAGTTAGTAGGATAGCAAACAAATTTGTTGATTATAAGCTTGAATATATGTAAAATAGTGGATCAGTCATTTTGTGGCGGATGGCACTACAGAAAGGACCCTGATCAGCCATAAAATGACTGGTCGGCAATTTAGGGTAAATTAGCAACTGAATTGATGCTGATAGAAAGTCTTACCTCGGCAACGGGTACTGGGACTCCATCTCCCAGGACATCTTTTACAAAAGACTGCTTACTGATGAAACCATTGAGATTGGACAGCCTCTTGAATGCTTCCTTCAAGCGTTTGTATTCCGCCTCATTGACTGAAACAGAACAAACATTGTGACAAGTTATATTTATACATCTCAAAGAGTCCTTCATGAGTAAGCTTTATGTTTAAATACCCTATCAACTTAAAATATTTACAAGAAAAATACACTGGGGTTTAAAAATAATTATTATTGTCATTAATACAATATGTTTGAATACAGCTAGATGAAGCAAAAAAAAACTATACAACAACTTATTTTTACATATTAAATTTAGTTGTGAATAGCCAGACATTTTTTAACAACCATGTGTTACTGTAATACATTACCGTACATTTTGCATGATTGGGATTCAAACAATACATGTATGATTATAAATTTTTATCTTCTAGCATTCCTATTCGCTGCAGAAAGTCAGAAGGTACAAAATTAATATTCATTAATATTTAATGATACAGTATGAAATGAACTCTAAATATAGGTAACTTGTGCATATTTGGACAATTTAAATTGTTTTCTAATACATTGTTTGATAGTAAAACGTAGGTACTAAGTTCAAAGATTTATTTCTATAGGGTTTAATACATTTTTTTTATTTGTCATTGCCTCCAGGATTGATTATTGACAATATAAATAGGTTAACATACATTACGTTGTCAATCCTAAAATTAGGCTATGACAACTAGTTTTGAAACATCAGTGGTTTCATTGTCGAGCCTCTTGCCTCTTAAAAATATTGGGACATCTTGTCGTCGTCATTACACATAGTACATTTAACTTATATAAACACGAACACGGACACAAACTATTTTAAAAAATGAATGCACGGCTGGCCATAAGTACCCCGGTGACGGACACGATGCAACTAACAATGCAGTTTTTTTTTTATATTAAGCTAGATGGTTTTTTAAATGAAGCATGACAGCCTAGGAAAAACTGACATGTTTCATCAAACAGTAGGCCTAAGGTCAGGGCCACACTCATCTTACCTTGCCGATTTTTTTCCACCCCGTGGGTTTGAGAGTTATATTACGGTATATGGGGCAGGCCACACTAGAGTAAAAACTTCCGTAAATGCGTTTATCAGTCTCACTGATTTACCAGCGAGACTGACAAACAGATTTGCGGGTGTATTCTCTACTAACATTCCACAGGCATTGCACGTAAAACTAGTCGCGGGGCATTGCGGCTTATGGGAGTGAACACACTCATCTTATCTCGCTAGATTTGTTCCTCGGACGTTTCTAGTTTTAACGTGACTGATTTAATGTGCAGTGAGCGTGGAGAGGGGGGGGGAGTGCGGATCATGGACAGGGGCGATTTTATTGCTAGTGTGGCATGCTCTATCAGTCTCGCTGGTTAGCCCGAAAAACCTTTCTCGTAAGACGAGTGTGGCCACGGTCAAACTCTTCCATGTGCGTCGCACGTGAAAACGGAAAACCAATCTCGCTGGTTAAAAATTACAAGTGTGGCCCCCCTAAGATTCACTGAGCTATAACGAATACTAGAGGTCGTCCAGTGGTCTAAAATCCAACCAAAAATATGTAATGTACAGACTTCTCTATTTTCACCTCACGCTGTAAATAAAACATGTGATTGGAATTTCTTCCATTCTTTTTGATTTTCTGTTTATATTTTGTCACCAGCATGGCAACCCGTAAGGCCCATGTTATTTTTTTTTATTTTAAAGTCATTTTTTGTTCTTATTTTTGAGCCTATTTTAATTTATAAAGGGATTCTGTACATCTACAGGAAAATATCTTTTTAACAGTATGCGTGGATTTTCCCTGTGATGAACTCGAGCTGAGAAAAAAGGTTTTCAAGAAACATGCTTGCCTATTAATATATAGGATCTGGAGGTGATAGGCTACAGTACTTCTCATTGGAGTTTTGTGTCGCTGTGGTTTATATTTAGCATACTAATGACAGGTTTTCAGTACTTCAGGTTGTGTGGCAACACTGGATGGTGAATACAAATACAAGATACACCTTACCAACATTATGAACCAAAGGCACGTTTGAAGTAATAAAGGTCTAAACTGGTGCTACTGTACTGTACCTCCAGACATAATATCTAGTTAAGTGGTGAGGTTTCTTCCAAGGTTATAAGCAATTAGTTAAATATATTTTCCAAACCATGTATCCTGAGTATATAAGAATTACTAAAATCAGTGGCAATAACATTATACAGTATTCATGTTTATACAAAATGAACAACATATGGGAATATATTTGAACTATTACAGAATTGCAATCAACATTTAAGATTGTTGATTTATCAACACCATGAATTCTGATAACATATGCCTAAACGTACTATTACATCAGATCAATAAATTTTAAAATATAATAAAAATTTGTGATGGGCTTGTCAATGCACAGATGGTTTTCTTATAGCCTACTGTAAATGGGTCTATTGACAAACTAAGAAAATCAATATTGCAAGTTCTAATGATCACTTAATGAATTCAGATGCTGATAAGCTTGCATATTGCATCGTATCTCTGATAAAATCTAACTTTCACTCAGTTTTGGGTGGTTTTTATTATAGATTTAAACAGAAGACTGACTTTTTTATGTAAAAAAGAAAAAAGCTAAGTAAACAATGTACAGGACATTTTACATTGATTATCCATTTTAAATACCTTTGTCAATATCTGAGTTATAAAAAAGCTCCAAAATTAAGAATTCCAATTTTAAATTAAATAACTTAGTTGCCCTCTTAGACAACTAGTTATAATTTATTAGAATTGGTCTACATTAAAACAAGCCACGTGAACTTTGGTTATAGTCCTCTTTTGTTAATGACTGCTTCATTTGCCATGTTTATGGATACCCCTATTCTCTTTTTTCTGTTTCTCTTTTGACACAACTCTCATCTTTCATCGAACTTAACTGTTCTTACCATAGACCAATTAAATTTGATTAAAAGCATTCCCAAAACCAATCTAAGGCTGGGTTTTCCTAGGCGCGGAAGCGGAGAGAGGAACGCGGAGAGCGGAAAAGAGATTTACATGGTGTTCCGCTCCGCTTCTAGGAAAACAGTAACATTCAATTACCTAAGACAAGTGGAGTCCTCTCTCCGCTCTCCACTTCCGTGCCTAGGAAAACCCGGCTTAAAAAGTGAATGTTGAATTTAAATCATGTTTTATAAATACCTATCCAATGCAGCACAAGTGTATTTCTCAATCTAAAGATTTATTATTTAATCTGACACAAAGCATGCAATACAGATGCAAGTCAAACTACATTTCTTGGCATAACAGTAGATAACAAGTTTAGTCAGGTATACGTGCATTTGCAGTACAATCAGCGTAAGCAAGATTTCAATAGAGTCAAAGTTGGTCAAATAGAATTTTGTCATCGGTAGATTCACTCATTATGGTTAATCAGCAGGAAGTAAGGATATTTACATAAACAAAATTTTCTTTTTTGTACAAAGGTTTTTCAGATATAATTCTACTTTTCAATATAGTAAAACTCTCCGTCATTATTCTACTAAACACATTTGCTACCGACATGTTAAAAAAATTCCTTAACTAGAGACCAAGCATGGATTTTTTTCCACAAACCGGCGTCAACAATACGCACACTTTATGGCTTTAATGTACGGTTTGTTTTATCGACTTGGTTGTCTAATGGAATAGCCCCTAAATAGAAACCATTACACGTGGGTGATTTTTTTCTGTAAAACTGGAAACATTTTTTTTACACATATAAATTTTTACAGGTCTCGAAGGGTTAGTTAACCCATTCCTCTTTAAGTGATTTGGTGTGTGTTTATTCCTAATCCTTTTTGTGAAGTTTTATATCATGGATAACTATCGTCATATTACTGGTTATATGGTTAAAGAAATCAATACATAGACTACAACGAAGAAAGCGATGGACTGATGTCAACTATTATCTTAGTTGACGACAAAACTTATTTTTTTTTAATACAGGATTGAAATTGTTATTGCAATAAATAGTGCTTTAATAAATAGCCAATTATTTAGACCCTAATTGATAAAAAAACGAATAGGCCCCATAAAAAATTGGTCTGTAGGTATTTTTAATTCAATAAGCTTAGTCCAAAAGAGCAATCTGGCCCGCAGGATAGGTTAGTGTCTTAAAGTCTGGCATTAACTATAGCTGACGATCGGTAGCGAACGTTTTAAACTGTACATCAAAATAATCTTCAGCAACAGTTTCCGATTGGGCCAAATTATGTCTGTAGTCACTGGTCGAAATCTATAGCCATTCTAACATCTTTGATAGGCCTATATAATTACAGTCTTATCAATGTATACTGTGAATGCATTTTAAAGTGCTAGGAAACTTATTTTATTGTATTTGTATAAAAGAGCCAACACATAAATGCTAATCAAGTTAGTTGTAAAACAACATCTACGGTATAAAGCCGTCTATTTAAAGAATCTAGTACAATCAATAGGCCTACCTTAATCTATCATTGATTTAGAATTTACTAAACCCTATAGTTCCCCATATAATTTATATAGAAAAATACATACCGGTATGGATTACTCTGCGTTTAATTAAATTTTCCTCTTTCATAAGAATTTAAACTTCTACACAACCTAGAACCTTAAGATATTGGCAGTGACCTCTGCTAAAAATATAAAAGTCTTAGGAATAGGCCTAATCTTTGACTTATGGAAACAAAAACTTTCAAATATCCTACTCAACAACACTCCCTAACTGACCACAGTGAACTAAGGCTATGTCTATGTCTACTCAGAGGTCAACTGTAAGAAAGGACCATGAGGTCCTAAGTTTGCCTCAATAGGCCTAAAGAAGGATTTTCATTTCTTTTCATTTCACTCCAGCCTACTACAAGTCTCCCCCCCCCCCCATTAAAAATAGGCACACCTAACAAAAGCTTGAGTGAATAAGCACCAAACCGAACATTGAAGAACTGCACCAAGAAATCCAAACTGCCAGGGGTATTGGGTGCAGAGTCTGCAGGACATTTGATTTATATTAGGCTTATTATGGATGGTAATTAGGAAACCTAACGCAGATTTTATCATATCCCATCATGGCTAGCAGCTTCTAACTTATGGTTGGATAGGTATCCAAACCAAGCCAACAAAAAATCCAACTTAACTTATAATAACTTATTTGGGCCCAACGTACACCCATATTTCCCAACTCGATGAGCTTAAAATCCAGGTACTTGCTATCAAATGGTCAACCATTGCTTATTAAGTAAAATACAGGGCCTGACCTGTGAGACCATATCATCATGTATAGATGAACTCATCCTTCAGCCTACAAGTGATGACTGCGAAAGTGTGTTATTTAGGCCTATTAATTTTCTTGAAGCGAAAACTATACCTTTTAACTTCCGTCGTGAACTTTTACCAGAGAAAATGGATTGTTCGTCTCAATAAAATTTAAACAACACTTCATACATAAAATTGAATATGGAAACATTTAAGTGACATTAATATTTACAGAGCACTATTGGCGAGCAGGGAAATGAGTGAATCGGCAAAAAAATTCATCAATTGAGTAGAAAGCCATGTCCTTTAGCTTTGACTATTAATTCAACAACTAGACATCCCATCCCCATGTTAAAGTTGTAGCCAGGTTTTTAATAAAATTTGTCTTAGTTGATATGAGCCACCTACAGATTGCGCTGATCTAAATTACTGATTTCTGCCGATTACATGATGGTTTTTACCAAGTCAAACTGATGGAATGACTTATTATGAGCTATATCAACTGTTGTGACCCAGCAATTATGTCAGTAACGAGAAATAAGGTACAAAATAAAGTTTTAGACACTAGCGCAATCTGTGACTGGCTCACACAACTACATTATTTTTTAGTCAAAAATTGGTGACAGCTGATCTATATAGATGGGATGTCTTCTTCTGTATGCAATAGTCAATGCCTTTAGCCACCGCACCAAGTCACACTCAATGCGGTTTTTCTCAAGCAGCCTAACATCAATTGGAAGCCTGTTGAACATCTTCAACGCCAAGTCCGGGAAGTGCTTTAAAGTCTTAACTAGCCTGCATCTCGGGATGTCCAGATTAGATCTGCTTCTTAAGTAGTGGTCATGAATTTTGCTTCGGGTGGTGAAGAATGCCTCATTTCGCTTAACATATACCTACCAGGCGAAATCAAGATGTAGTTCGATGGTACAGTAAGTATCCGCAAACTCCGAAACAGGGGCTGGCAGTGATGCTGCCTTCTGCAGCAAAAGCAGTCTGTAGCACTCTGAAGTGTACCCCCAAAGAAGCAGTCGATGAATGTGAGCATGGAATAGGGCAAGATAAACCACTGTTAGGTATTTGCGGTCGAGTAGGCTTTGAAGCTTCCGCAGCAGGAACACGACTCTGGACAATCTCTTGGTGATCACATAAATGTGTTTATCCCAGGATAGCTTACGGTCCAGAGTGAAACCCAAAAGTATTACGGGATCAGCGGCTTTGTGAAATTATATTTCGCTGAGACTGCAGAGTAGTAACTGTGTTTTTGACTCGTTCAGTTGTAGGTAGCATGTTACACTGGAACCATGTCTTAGCTTGGTCGAAAGCTAGTTCCTGGTTGATAATGAACTCATCAAGATTTCGCCACCTACTGAGAAGAGTGTTGTCACCTGCAAACATTAGCACTCCCCCCTCAACACTAAGGTCGTTGATGTGTAAAATGAACAGTAGGGAACCCAGAACCGAGCCTTGCGGCACCCCATAGGGTACCAGTTGAGTACACGTACTATTAGCTAAGTAGAGTACTAGTTGAATAACCACTGTTGCCTAGTTAATTTGAACTTAACTATCCGTTGTATATAGCGGATAGTTGAACTTATCTTCCCCATAAAGATTAATACAACACGTAAAAAAGCCTGTTGAGCAGGCCTTTCCGCAAACGAGTGTCCTGAGATCAAGTTATCTTCCCCATAAAGACCAATACAACACGTAAAAAGCCCGTTGGACAGGCAGGCCATTCCTAAACAAGTGTCCAGAGATCAATTTCCTAACCTTCTTGCCAACTAACTAGGTACCGGTACCATACATGTTAAAACTACTTCCTGGGAATAGTTAATTAGTATACACCCCTTCTAATAAAAAGAAAAGCTGACTGTTATACTCTTCAGAAGATTTGAGCTGATAGGAAATATAGCTTACAGCAAGTTATTGATCTAAGAGAGCCGCCGCCTCAAATTTAAAAGCCTATTTCACTCAAATATATTACATTCCCTTGAATGGAAAGAACTATCCTGGGTTGAAATGAATATGCCTGGTTATGAGTAAAGATTCAAAAGTGTAAATAGGCCTAGGCCTATATGGCACCAGGAAAAACACTTGATACCAAGGCCCTGGGTTATTTGAAGTGTAAACACTAAATGGATTTATATGCAAAGAATCTTGCATTTCCTAAGATCTAAGATGGTTATTCGAATGTTAAACCAACTAGCTATGGTTTATCCGTGGTTATATATGGTTTATGCTTTATTCCAATGTAATCCGCAAATGTATTATTTACATTAAATAGGGAAGTGTTAATCTTACCTCTCTTGACAGCCTCTTCATATGTAATGCAAGTTTGCTTTGAATCTTTAGCTCCCATATCAGTTAAAATTATTTAAAAATCAGGGCCTGGATTAAATTATTCCTAATCTCATCTTAAGAATCCGATCTGATTTATTTACGACAGTTAAATGACACTTGTATCTTGCCTAATTCATGAATTGAACTAACTACGAATGACGACAGGTAGGTAACCAACTAGACGTAGACGATACAAAGTATGACATGAATATGAATGGTAAAAACTAATATTTATACATAGTCAGCTGATTCTAAAGAAAGACTTTTAGAAAGGAATCTTAAACGACGCATTTTTAATCGAAATTAAAATTACGTGATACTATATAAAAAACAGACTGTGAAATTTTTACATTTGTTTTTAAATCTTAGTTTGATCTGTATGTATGATCGCGGATTTTAAAATATTAAAAGATCAGATGTCTAATGAACTGTACAAATTAACTTATACTGTACAATTTACCTTCACGCTCCGGTAGATTGACCGCTCCAACTTGACCCCCCCCCCCCCGCAATCTGGATGATATTTTTTAACGATAAGCTAAAGGCAATTAATTAATTAATTTATTTATTTATATATTTACAGACGGAAAACTCCATTTTCATAACATACAATCATGGCAAGACGTTTCATTCAGACTTACATAGAACAATTCATACATAACATCAAGATGACCTGACTAAAGAACCCTAATAAATAAGAATGTATCAAAATACAGGGTTATTACAAATGATGTTCCTGATTTTGATTATAAATCTTACTGTGTTAATTTGTTTCAAGACTATTTTAGTTGGTACCATTGGAAAGAAAAACTCATAAAGTTTCATTTACATTGGTTTGGGTGCATATCAGCTGTTTGTCAAGTCAATTGTTGTAAGTGTTGTGTAATGGCTGAATTTGAAGGCAGGAAAGCTTTTTGCCAGTCGGAATATTACATTAACCAATCTGTTATTAGTGCGCAACGACACTTTAGAACCAGGTTTAACGATGATCCTCCTTGTAACCACTATATTGACAAGTGACACTTGAAATTTAAGAGAAATGGCTGCATTTGAATGTTACTTGTAGTAGGGCTGAACTTAACAATGTGCTGCCTGAGATATGGAACGAGCTCGGTAGTCCGAATAATGACACACCCCTGAACTGGCCTAAAAGATCTCCAGACATCACCCCCTGATTTTTTTCTTGTGGGGATACATCAAAGATAAGGCGTACACACCACTATTATCAGATAGCATACTTGAGATCCGGATTACCAATGCTATCGAAACAATAGACCTAGAAACACTTTTCAAAGTCTAGCAAAAGCTTGACTACATTATTGACAGCTGTCGTACAACAAGGGGTTCTCGTATCGAGCATTTAAAGTTCTGTGTATCTGTGTCGAAACTTTTTGAGTTTTTCAAAAGTTGTAACCATTTTATTTCTTTGTATAAGAATTAAAACTATATTTTATGTATGTATGAAATCATGAACATCATTTGTAATAACCCTGTATATCAATATATATAACAATAAATAACAAAAAATAACAAGGAATAACAATGAATAACAATAAATAACAATAAAAAACAATAAATAACAATAAAAAACAATAAATAACAATAAATACAATAAATAACAACAATAATTAACAATCAACATGGGGAACAACAAATTTGGTAATTTGCTAACAAAGATAAAAAATCAAAAAACAAGTAACAGTAAACAACAACTACAATGATAAAGAAACAAAAAAGAAGGTGACAGTATAATGATCAACAGCAGCTAAGCGTAGAAACTCTTCAGCCCATTTCTAAAGACTTCATCGGACATGGAGAAGAAGTCCAGGTGTTCTGGAAGACAGTTTCCAAGGCGATGGAGACGTGGCATAGTGCTGTGGTACGCATATTGTGTAGAGCAATATCTCCTCTCAAACAGTTGTTTTGATCTTGTCGATTTCAACGCTCGAAGGTCGATTCTTCCCAACAATTCAGGTGAGTCCACTGAAGCTGAGATTATCTTCCTCAGAAACATTAAATCGGAGACTCTACGCCTGACTGACAATTGTAATTGTAATTAATTGTAAGGTAAGTTTCTTTTCTGTACACTGTACAGTATATGCAGAGAGTTTTTGGCCGTACACTTTTTATTTCTTATTGTTTTTTTCACTTTACCATTTATCAATGAATTAATTATGACGATTAACAATCAAATAGAACAAATGTATTTGTAAAGCTTTTCCCCTGGGTATTATCATAGACTAACTAACGACAGAAAGGAAGTATGCTTGATCTATGGTATATTACTAAAGAGTAAACCTAACACTGTAACATTTCACTCACATCATGGGCGCCTGCAGGATTTGGAACAGGGGGGTGCAATAGATAACGATCATCTGGGGTTCGGTGTGGCCTTCCCTGGGAAAATGTCTGAAAATATAGTGTTTTTAAACTATTTTTACGCTATTTGGTAACACATAGAACCAAGTGCACCCCTTGTGAGTGCCCACTACTCACATTTAAACTTAGATCAACAAACAAACAAAGATACAGTTAACATCATTGCACTCAAGCGTAACCTGATTTGAAACACATAGCCTACACTGAAATAAACTTTTGATTTAAAATTTAACAACCACTATTTTGATCTATTTGAACTACAAAGACATTTTTATATTAATTACGCTATGTTTTGTTGATTTGGTCCGAAAAAATAGTTCTTGACCAACGATATGACGAGAAGTATTCTTATTGCAGCATCAAAAGTGAATGTCCCTTGCCGATTCTGATTCTGATACCATATCCCTTGAGAATTCTTATTCTATGCTGATACGAAACTACCCAAACATCTGAAAAAAAGCTTTAGTTGTGGTTGTGGCACTCCTGTACTTCACTTCACTTCACAGAATACTGTTAAACAAAAGTCAAAACCAAAAGTCACTATTGGACTGAACAATTCGACAATTAGTGTTAAAACTTTAAATATTTAGCATAAAGAAAAATAAAAGTCGGTGTAATTTGTCACGGGGATGTTTAGGTGTTTAACGGTTGTTGTTAAAAGTTCCATTAAGTTATGAAAAATTTGTAGTCAATATGGTTGATTTTAGTGATTATTTTTGGGTAAGCAGAGATAATTCACAAGGCTAGACTAATACAAATTCTCTCTTATGTTCTTTCCATGTACCTTCTTATTGAATCTTATTAAAAAATAAGTTGTATATTATCCTCCCAGTATTTTTTTAACGTCATCTTTATCCATGGTGCTTGTGAAGCCTTTACTATTATAGCACTAAGATTTTACCTAGGCTCTGCTGATAATGTCTTTCATAACCTAGCCCACAACCCCTCTATTATAGCCTAGGCTAGGTCCCAGTTAGTATTTATAGTCAACCTTGGTATTTATACTCCAATGTTATTATGCCATTTATGTACTTTTTGTAACTGCTGTCTCTCACTTTACTCTTGAGTCGTTACAGTAAAAGCCTACTCTCATTGTAGGCATATATAGCTCGTCATTTAGCTCAGTCGCAAAGTATTATAGTTTGCCATTAAAAATAACCAGTAAAGTTTTTGGGCCAGAGTTTTGCATCGTAGTTTTTTGTCGTATGTACCTACTCTAAGTTACTGTATTACTGTTTTAATTAATAGCCTACCTTAAATCGTACCTTTTAGGACCAAAAAAGGACATAGGCTATTCATAAAAGACATGTTTACAAGAAGCTAGTTAGGCAGGCAGGATATCCTGTCAAAGGTAACTTTCAGAAATACATTAACGGAGGCAGGTTACTGTAGATCGCTTGTCTACCAGCCTTGTGTAAACACGGTTAAAAGGATGATTAGTTTTTAAATATGAAAGAAATTAAATAGTTAGATATAAAATTTTGATTGGGCTCTTAGGAGGCTTGAATATCACATTCCTACAGTCCCGTACATCTAATAGTGACACCTTCAGTCGCTATGGCCTAGCCCCTTTTATTTAGTCAAAGCCAACTGGTTGACGATAATAATAAGCTCTTATTTCATTGTGGCTATCTGTAGTCGTGAGAGGCAATTTCATGTTGGACTACACTTCGTGAGTGTTATTTTTTCTTAAGGATTTTGAGGACTTTGAAGGCTGTATGATATTCAAACAACAGTCTAATTACCCTTCCTGTCATTTTAATTATTCATATTGTTAGATTATTATCAGTAGGCTTAAAAATGACATTCAAAACATCTAGTTTTACATCAAGACATAAATAGGCAGCCAACATAAAAAATACATAGGCTAGGGATGAGCATCGATGGTAATATTGACGTCAACCGTCGATATACCGAAAACATCGATAACATCGATGATTTTTCAATTTTTTATCTGCTTTATTCAACTTACTCTCTAGTAATGGAAAACATCCACATGCCACATTGCAATTATAGTCTCTTTTCAATTCAAAGTAATATGTTTCCCTGAAATAGAGCTAGGCCTAAGTACTAGGCTGTCTTCTTTTGGCAGGGCAGATAAGTTATCCCTCGGGAGGATGTTTACACTTCTGGGTTTTGGTTAGTAAAAAGGAAAACACAATTTCAATATCAGATAACTTCAACTTAAAGTTAAATTATCGTAAATATTTTTCATTTTAATCAAATAGTGATGGACAATGTTTGGTTTGGCTCTAGATGTTACACCCTAGAACAGCAATTTAGAAAGAGTTGCTGCTTATCTCATTCTATAAATTCTCTATTTTAGACTCGCTCGTGTTGTTGAACGGTTACTTTTCATGTCATGCTCCAATTACTTTTTCACAGACCTGTTAGCCTACCCTTATTTGACCTAAGAACAAAAGTCAACCACTTTGTTGGATTAAATTTCTGTTTTTAAGATTTTTCCTGTTATTTGTTGTATTATAAAATTTGTTTATTATCTACATTTTCCACTCACTCAATGATTTATTTATAGGTCTACTTACAAGATTACCTGTAAGAATTTCCTTTTTTTGTGACTAAGTATTGTTTTTTCTGCGATGTCATTTTAATTTTAGTGGCAACCTTTACCATTTGTTATACATGTTTCAGGGTGAGAAGAATAATGGATTTGATGTTTTGTACCATAATATGAAATTTGGCCTTGTCGCCAGCAAGGAGTTAGCTGAATTCTTCCGGGAGAGGTGATTATGATCTTTTATACTAAATAGTATTTCTTATAGTTTTTGTAAAAGACCAGCCGAACTACTGGTCTTGAACCATGTAAGTATAATTTGCTATAAGTAGGCCTACTACGATCTTGAAGCCAAACCAATCCATATCATGCTAAATATGTATTAGTAAACAAAATTTATTCCTCTGCGAAAATATCTTAGTACTGGCACAGTAGAGAGCCAACTACAGTATCCGAAACAATATTGGAGGTAAGGTATGACTGGAAGACTGATTTTTTTTCGGATAGTGGGTCATTGCTGGAAGAAGTTGAATACATCTTTCTTTGATTGATAACATTTTAGCTTATTGTTGTATTTTTTTAATAATTTGTACTCATGATCGTCTCTAGTTGTTGTGTCAACCTTATGCCTATCTTGCAATTTCGGTCACTCCAATGATGGCCTCCCGAGTTTTTAGCAATACCTGTGAACATCTCTTGAGGTCTCGACAACACTGGTAATCGAGCAACGCTTGTTAGTAGGCTATATCCTTCAGTCTCGGCGATATCAGCGTTTGTCTTCCACAATCGCAGAACATGGGGTACATGTCAATTACATTTTTGTTTCTTCATATGTTTAACCAACGTTGCGAATGACCAGGCTTCACATAAAACCGTCTCTGTACTGTAATAGTTTATTATTGGAACTAAAAATAAACCACAATGGTTATGTTGGTATTTACTCTTAATGAATCCTAAGCTGCAAAATATCTTTTTATTTTTTTATTCTCAGGTATGAGTAGAGATAATTGTAAATTCAAAAAAAAATAAAAACAATTATTTAAGTGTATACATGTAAAATCATACCCATAATACTTTCTGTCTAATTCAACTGTTTAGCCTACTTATATTCAGGGAAAGTACATAAAAAGTATGTCTAGCCTACTTAATCTATTCAGGGATCAAAGTAAATAAAAAGTATGTCTAATAACGCTTAAAAACATATATTTACACTATACTTCTATCGAAATTGATCACCACTTGTGGTCTTTTAACAATTTACCGTCTTACATAAGTGTAAGTTAATTATATCTTTTAAGTGTTATCAGATATATTTTTTATTTACTTCCTGTAGATTTAATAACAGGTTCAGGAACAATGCTGATCAAGTATATATCTAATAAATTTTAAATGTTTCTAATAAATCTGCTATCTATTAGATTAATTTTTAATTATTTTTTTCCCAGTTCAAACATAGAAGAGTACAACTCGAAAGTTTTGGGAAAGTTAGCCAAGCAGGCTGGCAGTGGATGTGTGCAAGGAACGTTTGCTCCAGTATGGCAGGCTGTTCGATCAACAGCGGAGAAGTTATCTCAACTCCACCTACAGATGGTCCACAAGATATCGGAGCTTGTCAAAGAGGTCACAAAATACGCTGATGAGCTACATAAAAAGCATAAAACCGTAAGTTTGCTCAAGTTACTGTGAAAACTGTATGTCTTTTCACTTTTAAATTAAAATAGGGCTTATCATTTCAGTAAATCTTTTAAACATGTTATAACATATTAAAATAGGCAATGCTTAAATGAACTAAGAAATCCCCAAAAATGTATTGCGTGAATTGCGAGAGTGAATAACCTTTTCTTACTGTTTAAACATAGTGGTAATTTTAAATAACCTATAGGTCTACGATATGAAAAAAAAAACATCTATTGCAAAAACATTGTCTTGCAAAGATATGAACAAACCTTGTCACGTTATTCAGCATGTCAAAATAAACAAAAAATTTATACTAACATGATCATGTCCTATCTCATTCCGTTTTCAGTCTATCTGTCTGTACCTATGTGATTTTTACAAAAACATTCATAATTCCTTACTGCTTGAGCTACAGCGTATAAATTCTGTAAAAATGTTTATCGTATTGACCACTATTTTTGTGCAAGATATGAATAAAAACTCTTAAACTGTTTAAAAATAACGCCTTTCAAAAATATTTGATACCAAATTCCACGAAAATCATTAATTGTACAAAATATTTGCAGGATATGTAAAATTTACTAAATTTTATGCAGATTACAACGATATCTTATAAGCCTAGTTTAGACAAAGAATAACTTAGAACCAATCATTTTAGCCTCTGGATTGTGTATATAGCCTATATAAAATTAATTGATATTATAAGGACCTTAGCCTATAAGGACCTTATTAGGATATTATAGGATAGGACCTTATACCTTAGCAATCCTATTTTATTGATCTAAAATTAATTTCAGACCCGAAGGTCCATCATCAGTCGGAGTCTAGGTTGACCAAATTTGTATAGCCTAGTTGAGTCCACCCGTTATGTTTCGTAGAAAGTGTCATAACATTTAACACAAAACAAGTCATAGTGGACACGAAAATAGTAAAACAATTAGGGTTAAAAACTATGGTTTTCATAGTGTGGGATAACCTCACTTTAGTTAGGGAACACGTTGCCGGCAATCCGCATATGTAATCTGCATAAAATTTAGTAAATTTTACATTCCCTGCAAATATTTTGTAAAATTAATGGTTTTCATGGAATTTGGCTTAAAATATTTTTAAAAGGTGCCATTTTTTAACGGTTCAAGATTTTTTATTAGTATTATTTTGCACAAAAACAGTAGTCAATAAGATAAACATTTTTACAGAATTTCTACGCTGTAGCTCAAACAGTAAGGAGTTATGAATGTTTTTGTAGAAATAACATACAAACAGATAGACCGAAAACTGAATGAGATAGGACACATGTTATGTTACATTTTTTGTTCCTTTTGATACACAAATAACATGACAAAGTTTGTTCATGTGGTTGCAAGACACTCTGTATATAGTTTATTCAATCTGTGATGCAATTATTTATCTAGAATTTCTTGTGATTGGTCACACAAGATCAATATCCAAATATTTGAGACAGTGAACAAATGTACCTACCTAATTTGTTAACTGGCCCTCAGAGATAAATGCCATGGTATTATTCTGGTCCATAAGGCTCCTTTTATTCACCGCGGTTGCCCGCTGAACCAGTGTGTCACCTGCTATCGACCGCTGTCACGTGGATAGTGTAACAGTGCTGCCAACCCATTCCGATAGTCGACACTCACTGAGTGAACTTCGCCGTTATTACTTCGTCGATACAGTAAATCGTTCAGTAAAAATGTCCGTAACATGAAGTCATTTTGAACGGCGAGAGACAAAACAACTACATTAAGTACAATGCGCACAGCCGAATGACTAGACCACGTGTAGTGAGTGACACTGGTGACTTGGGTTGGCAGCAGTGCAAGAGCTCCCGTGTTGATTAAATGATCCCATAAACACAATGCATATACGAACCGCTCGCCGCCTGCAATTTCTAAGTGCAAGCGGGTGAATTTACAAACCTCCGCGGGTACCCGCAACTTCTGAGACCGCTCCTATTTGAATAAAAGCACCCATTTACGGCAATGCATTTACAAAACCGCGGCGAATAAAAGGGACCTAACAAAACCACCAATGTTTTTATCATCGAAAATGGTGTATTCACAATTTTACCAGTATACTTTGTGGTTTTGTAGTTTTTATCAGTGGGACTACTATGTATTTGCATTCTTTGTCAACAGCACAAGTAATGACATTTTACTAGTCAAAGTAAGCAAGTTCTTCCGTAACATCTATAATTTAGTTTAGCAGAAGTTAAGTTCTTGATAGTCCCAGCTTTATAACCACCTGTAGGCGTTCTGCCTGAAAAAAACAAGTTTTCAGATTAACATTTTTTCATCTGATATTTCAAAAAATTCAAACATATAATGTCAGTAGGCTATATACATTACCACTTGAAATTGTGTGACATTCTTCCTCTTCTGGAGCTCCACAAAACACTAAATTTTATGTTTTAATGGCTAAAAATCTTTCAAGATTGTATTACATATGTGTTAACACATTTAACGATTTAACACTTCTCACACAACAATTTACAACATTGTCACTTGTCTATCCTTAACAGCGTTTTCTTTAATACCGAACTCAAGAAGACAGGAAGACAATTACTATAGAGCAGTTATTTATCCAACAAAATAAGATATTACCAGGAAGTGAGTCATTGTATGGCTTGCTACGATAATATTTCCTATACATTTCTTACCACTATCAACGAAATGCGAGATTATTCAATATCATGTAGATATAATGACAGTCAATTTTGACCAAAAGTCTTCAAATACATTCTGAAACCAAATTGGTCACGAAATTTATTTACACGCTACATGATTATTTAAAAAGTGCATAAATACTACAACGTCAGTGGGGTATTCCATCACACAACATTGGACTTTTACGTATTGACAATATTCTAATGTGTCAACCACTAAATTAAACCAACCAGTGATTTATCACTTTGAGCATATAACATATGACATATTTTCAGGTAAAAGAAGAAGAATGTGGAACATTAGAAGTTGCTCAGGCAATACAGTCAACGTCAGTTACCCTACAAAAAGCAAAAGATATTTACGTTCAAAGAGGACAAGAGCTGGACAAATTGAAAAAAGATAATGCTTCAGCGAAAGAGCTAGAAAAAGCAGAATTGAAACTAAAAAAAGCACAAGAAGAGTATAAAACCCTTGTAGATAAGTATAGTTCAGTCAAGGAGGACTTTGAAAAGAAAATGTCCCTGGCATGTCAGGTAATTCAAATTTTTCAAATTTTATCAAAGTCTTAATTGTAAGGAAAACATTATTATTGGTTTGTGTAAATATTTTGTAAATTAGTATGGTCAAAAAATATTAAAAGGTTAGAACTATTCTAATTCATACAAAATAGAGTTGTGGGAGCCTGAGATTTTAGATTGAGCCGATCCTGAGTTGAGCTTCTGGTTTTTTGAACCAGCTTATTTATATAATTAATTTGACCTAATGTCACAGGCTATAATACTACTCTAGTCAAAAATTTCGCAGAATGAATTTCTGTAGACATTTAGCGTGATCGCCAGCGGGAAATTTGCCTTGCAGTAGTTGGTACGACTCCTGGTGAGGGTATTTCGGTAGTGGGAGTTTAGCTTACGAGCCGTAGTCTAGCATTGGAAAGCGCTTTTCATGTACCTGCAAGTCTACATTGTCGGTTACTGTCGGTTGTGTATCTGCATTTAAAAATGGCATTTCACGAACAGCGTGCTAATATTAAGTTCTGTGTTTTACTTAAAAAACCACCTAATTAGACTCTTAAATTGTTAATTCAAGCTTATGGAGAAAAGTCAAGTTTATGAGTGGTACAAATGGTTTTGTGAAGGCCGTGAAAGCATTGACAACGACCCTTCAAGTGGACGTCCTTCAACAGCAGTCAATGACGTAAACATTGAGCGAGTACGACAATTTGTGCGAGAAAATCGGAAATTTAAAATCAATGAAATTGTGCTCGCTTAATGTTTACGTCGTTGACTGCTGTTGAAGGACATCCACTATGAGGGTCATCGTCATTGCTTTCATGGCCTTCACAATCCGTTTGTGCTATTCATAAACTTGACTTTTCTTCATCGCCTCTTCTCCATAAGCTTGAATTAACAATTCAAGAGTCTCACTAGGTGGTTTTTTAAGTAAAACACAGAAATTAATGTTTGCACGCTGTTTGTGAATTGCTATTTTTTAATGCAGGTACACAACCGACAGTAACCGACAATGTAGACTTGCAGGTGCACAAAAAAAGACTTTCCAATGCTAGACTACGGCTCGTCAGCTATACTCCCACTACCACAATGCCCTCCCCAGGATGTGTACCAACTACTGCAAGGCGAATTTCTCGCTGGCGATCACGCTAAATGTCTACAGAAATTCATTTCAGGAACTTGTTGACGGTTATACGTAAGTAAAACTGACACAAATCATCTTTTCAAAATGCAATTTAATGTTTGATGTATTTGGAAAACAGCATTAAAAGCAGCATTAAATCCAGTAATCACAAATTTGGTGTTTTGTGCATTGTACAATGACTCAGTATTTTGCAGAAATGTCACAGTCGGTGGGCATCATCATTGTCTCCCTTGATTGTGGCTAAATCCTGAATATCTCCCATCATCACAAAAACATCATTATTGTCTCCCACAATTGTGACAAAATATTAAATATTCCATGGTAATGTTAACATCATCAACGTCTTCCCAAATCGTTGAAAAATCTTTGAGATGTTCCGCGTTCGTGTCTAGACACTTTCATTTTTTTATCAAACCCGGCAAAATATTGAATACCTCCAGTGGTCGTCCAATTGCTATAAGTTCTTTCCCTCTCGTTGGTTCTGTTTGGAAATTGGTTTAGTTTTCTACTTTCCCATGTACAAAGTTTGACCGTGAATTAACATCAAACTCCTGTCGCAGCCAAGTGAGCTAGTTCGAATCTTAGGCCAACATCATGTTTCTTACTTTATCCACTCTTATTCTAGCTGGTTCCCACTCTGTGATGGGACGTTTAGTCTTGTTTTAGTATTCATTCAAAAATGTTGTGAAAGGAAATTGATTCTCCTGCCACTATAGAAAAGAGATAAGTGAGAGTCCACTGTCTTAATGTCTGTTAATTGAAAAGCTCATATTAATCCAGATTTTTAATTTCAGCACTTTCAAAAAATTGAAGAAGCACATTTAAAACAAATGAAGGAGTTTCTGAACACCTACTCTGAACTTGTTGAAAATAACCATGACTTAATTGGGCGGGTAAGATTAGACTTATTTTTATTTTAAAACTTTCAATACTATCTATTTGGCACTTTTATTCATACAATATCAAATTGATAAGATGTTTAAAATATATTTTCATTATGTTTGTTCAGTTATCATTTTATTTAAAATTAATAAATTTAAAAGTTAAAAATTTCACTTATAGCCTATAAATTTAGTTGAGGATTTTTTTCTGACAAAAGTGTAGATAATAGGCTGGTTTCACCATAAGAATAAGAATGCTTTATTGCCGTTTCACTGGTTTACATGCATGGCACAGTCAAGGAAATTTCTTAGGACTTAGGTTTTAACCAAGGTTTAATTTAACATCATTAATGAAGTCTATTTCTCTTTACGGACACGGGTTTAATAGGTACCTAGTTTTTAAGTACTATTTTAAATTTAGAACAGTTAAAACATCTTATTCTATAGGGCAACATATTAAAATACTGTTTGGATTTTTCAATAAAACTAGTAGCTGTGGTGCTATGTCAACACTTTCTATATTACAGTGGTTTCGTGTGTTGAAATTGTGTAGGCCTACATATTCATGCGTGTCTGTTTTACTAAAACTATTTTTTGCAAAAATACAAGACAGTCTAAAATATACATTGCTTGTACAGTTAAAATATTAGCCTTCCTAAGTAAAGGTTTACTGTGTGTACTAAATTCAACATTGTACATAATTTTCAAAGTTTGTTTTTGCAATAACAAAAGTTTTTTTTTATAATTACTACCTCCCAATACAATTGTTCCATAACTGAGATGGGAATCTATATGTGCATAATAAATGCATTTTAAAGTATTAAAATCTACACTGTTCTTTAGCATGTTTATTATAAATATTCCTTTGGTAAGTTTTTTAGCTGTATAATCAATATGGACTTTCCACTTTAAGTTAGATTCTATATAAACACCTAAAAATGTTAAACAATTTTTATTAAGCCTATTATTAAAACTAATACATAAATCTTGGGTTTTTTCATTTGTATTGCTAAATCATCTGTAAATAAATATGGCTTAACATTGAGGTTTAGGATATTTTTAGGCAAGTCATTAATGTATATTATGAAGCATACTGGGCTCAAAATTGAGCCCTGTGGGACACCATGTAACACCTGTTTATAATCAGAAAAAAAAAACTTGAAATAAACACTTTGATATCTTTTATACAGATATGATTCAAAACATTTTAAAGTATTTTCTTCAAACTTATGAAAGGCAAGTTTTTGTATTATAGTCCAGGACCTGACTAGGGTTCTGTGTGCATGTCGTGTATAGAGAATTTTGCTTTTGCATTTCAATATAGGTGTCTTAGGAAGTGTTTTCCACTCGGGTGTCAAGTTCGCACCTGGTACGTTTTCGAGCTATGACGTCATCAAAATGGCGGCCATTGATTTTTTTTAAATCGTATATTTCGCAAACTATTTGTCGGATCGGAATGAATTTTTTTTGTTTGAAAGATAATTTTAAATGCTACCTGTTTTACATTTACACATTTGTTGTATGTTTAGTACATTCTTCGTAATTTTGCAAAAACCTGTATTTTTAAATATTTTTGAGTTATTTTTGTTTGTAACGTTTTATTGATACAATTTATCAAAAACCACCAATGAAAAAAGTTGTAGAACGTTTAAAAATCTTTACAAAAATACCAAATTCGATATGTTTTACTCAAAATATTACGTCAAGAAACTAGATAAATCTCATAAAAACACCAATTTTGGCGCAAAAACGCATATTAGTCCGGCATCTAGGGCAGTTCGCAAGTCTTATAAAGACAGTTTCACCATTCAATGTTGATGTATGTGTCTAAATAAGTGTTTTCAACTCGGGTGTCACGTCTGCACCCACTGCAGTTTCCGGTTATGACGTCATTAAAATGGCGGAAAGGGCTATATTAAAAATAACTATATATTACATACCATGTATCGGATCGGAATGAACTTTTTTTTGTTTGAAAGATAAGTTTACATGCTATCTTTCTTACGTGTGCACTTTTGTTTTATATTTAGTACATTTTTCGTAATTTTGCAAAAACCTATATTTTTAAACATTTTTGTGTTATTTTTGTCGATAACGTTTTATTGACACAATATATCAGAAATAACTTAAAGACAAAGTTGTAGCACGTTAAAAGAGCTTAACAAAAATACCTAATTCGATATGCTTTACTCAAAAGATCACGTCAAAAAACTAGAAAATCGTACAAAACAACCTAATTTTGCGCAAAAACGCATATAAATCCGACATCGATGGCTGTGTACGAGTCATATATAGACAGTTTTACCATACAATGTTGATGTATGTGTCTAAAGAAGTGTTTTTAACTCGGGTGTCACGTCTGGACCCACTGCAGTTTCCGGTTATGATGTCTTTAAAATTGCTACATGTTACGATTTCACCAGCTATTTGACTTAAAATAAGACCATTACCCTCTTTTATGCAAATAAAAGCACAACAAATCAATGTAATTAGTCCATAGGAATGTTTCCACTATATAAATACCCCCGGTGCAGCAATCCTGTCGACTAAGCGAATTTCCATTTGCCTGGATTGATTTTCAATTAATCCATTAAATTAACATTGTTTGAGTTGTTAATTTAATGTTAATTTAATAGATTAATTGAAAATCAATCCAGGCAAATGGAAATTCGCTTAGTCAAAAGGATTGCTGCACCGGGGGTATTTATATAGTGGAAACATTCCTATGGACTAATTACATTGATTTGTTGTGCTTTTATTTGCATAAAAGAGGGCAATGGTCTTATTTTAAGTAAAATAGCTGGTGAAATCGTAACATGTAGCAATTTTAAAGACATCATAACCGGAAACTGCAGTGGGTCCAGACGTGACACCCGTGTTAAAAACACTTCTTTAGACACATACATCAACATTGAATGGTAAAACTGTCTATATATGACTCGTACACAGCCATCGATGTCGGATTTATATGCGTTTTTGCGCAAAATTAGGTTGTTTTGTACAATTTTCTAGTTTCTTGACGTGATCTTTTGAGTAAAGCATATCGAATTTGGTATTTTTGTAAAGCTCTTTTAACGTGCTACAACTTTGTCTTTAAGTTATTTCTGATATATTGTATCAATAAAACGTTATCGACAAAAATAACACAAAAATGTTTAAAAATATAGGTTTTTGCAAAATTACGAAAAATGTGCTAAACATAAAACAAAAGTGCAAATGTAAGAAAGATAGCATGTAAACTTATCTTTCAATCAAAAAAAGTTCATTCCGATCCAATACATGGTATGTAATATATAGTTATTTTTAATATAGCCCTTTCCGCCATTTTAATGACGTCATAACCGGAAACTGCAGTGGGTGCAGACGTGACACCCGAGTTGAAAACACTTATTTAGACACGTACATCAACATTGAATGGTGAAACTGTCTTTATAAGACTTGCGAACTGCCCTAGATGCCGGACTAATAGGCGTTTTTGCGCCAAAATTGGTGTTTTTATGAGATTTATCTAGTTTCTTGACGTAATCTTTTGAGTAAAACATATCAAATATGGTATTTTTGTAAAGATTTTTAAATGTTCTACAACTTTTTTCATTGGTGGTTTTTGATAAATTGTATCAATAAAACGTTACAAACAAAAATAACTCAAAAATATTTAAAAATACAGGTTTTTGCAAAATTACGAAGAATGTACTAAACATACAACAAATGTGTAAATGTAATACAGGTAGCATTTAAAATTATCTTTAAAAAAAAAAAAATTCATTCCGATCCGACAAATAGTTTGCGAAATATACGATTTAAAAAAATCAATGGCTGCCATTTTGATGACGTCATAGCTCGAAAATGTACCAGGTGCGAACTTGACACCCGAGTGGAAAACACTTCCTAAGACACCTATATTGAAATGCAAAAGCAAAATTCTCTATACACGACATGCACACAGAACCCTAGTCAGGTCCTGGACTATTACTAGTTCATGGGACACAGATACAGTGTCAAAAGCTTTTTTCATATCATAAAACTTCAAATATACATTATTTTGCATTTCTAAGTCATCATCTAAACAATAAGAAATCAGCTTCTGAACTGCATCTTTCTCTATTAGCTCTGAACCCAAATTGATTGTAATTAAATAGATTATTTCCTTCGAAATAGGATACAACTTGATGATTTATCAAACTCTTTAAGGTGACACAGTACTCCCTATCCCGCCCATGTTAAAATGACAGTTTTTAGGTACACGTAACTTTTACAAATATTAACCTATCAACTTGAAATTTTTGTACTAAGTTTAATACATTATTACCAGCAATAATATGAAGCAAAAAAAGTTTTTGAGCAAAATTAAATTGTTAGTATGATTTTAAAAATTTTATAAAAAATTTTGTAATTTTTTAACATAAAATATTTTTTTATTTCAAAGGTTTTTGGTTATCATGGAAACTGATTCATATTATTGTTCCTTATCATATGAGGAACACACACACCAATGTTTATTGAAATTGGATTATAATTGAGGAAGAAAAGTGTACCTGACTAAAAACCACTTGACTTTCGGAAAACGACAAAAGTACCCCCTGTCACGGGTAGTAGTAGGACCCTTGGGCATGCTAAAGTAAGAGTGTATAAAAGTCGCTGTATAAAATAATTTTCTCTCCCATAATATTTTGTATGTACGTGTTCAGGAAAGTGTGTTCTACAAAACTAAATAATAAAAAATGTTTAAAAAATTTAATATGTGACGGCGTACCCTCTGCGTCTTGATTAGTAGTAGGACCTTGGACATGCTAAATTAGGCTGCAATAGTTTATAAAAGTAGCTGAAAATTTTAAAAATAAATTTTTCTTCCTTAATTTTTATTATTTACGTGTTCAGAAAAGTCTGTTCTACAAAACTAAATAATAAAATTTTTTTTTTTTAATTTTTATATTTAAGTACTGTGTTACCTTAATACTTTACTATTAACAGGAATAATACTGATGGGTCTATAGTTAATTAAATCTAACCTATCACCGGTTTTATATACAGGAATTTCTTTGACACATTTTAAACATTCAGGATATACCCTCAACAATACAGAGTTTAAATAAGTATGTTAGTACTTCAACTATATAAACTGCAGCCATTTTTATGATATCTGAGTTTAGTCCAAAAACATCTAGACGTCTACTACTGCTTAACCTATTAATTTTCTCAAATACCTGTTCAACAGAAAATGGTTTCAATTCAAAACTAATATCTGCCATTGTGTCCATACCCCTCAACACATTTATTTAGACTTCAGAAGATTTGTTCGATGTTGATAAATTATTAATCAAATTGTTTACAGAGTCTAAGTAATGGTTATTTAAAGATTGAGGGTTGAGAGAATTTTTACTTTCGCTTTTTCTATTGACACTAACTCTTTTATTTATAACTATAACACTGTATTTTTATTTTTACTATAAACTAGCAAACTCCAATGACTCCCCTTATCTGCATTTTGACAGTTCTTGCTATCGTTAACTAAAATCGTTAACTAAATGGACTAGGTACTCTTTTCAGTAGCGTTTCGTTAAACAGACTTCGGCTATAACAAACAGTATGATTAAATTTTAATGTCTGTATACCTATCCTGAAATGCTGATTTCAATTAAATTTACCATATCATTTGTTGCTTAACATCCTATTCTTTTGAAGTGTAATATTATTAGTGTAATATTGTTGTGCTTAATGTCAAACCAAAATTATTTCATCCATGCTTTATTTTTTGTTCTTTTTAAGGAATACATTGAATTCAAAAGGCAATGTGTGGAAATGACTGTTGAAAAGCTACTTGAACAGTTTGTCCTCAGCAAATACACTGGGCTGGAAAAGCCAGGTATGAATTTAGTTTAGTGGCACCACAAAACAATGTTTTAAGGGAACTATATTTTAGGATGGTCATTTATGTATTGTACTCTAATGGTTAATACTGTCTTATAATACCAATGCAAAAATAAAAATGCCTGCAAACAGCATCAACCCACCATTATTAACAAACAATTTAAAATGCCTTTATAGATTAAATACTAGAAATAGTAGAAATAAAATAGTTCGCACATAGTACATCATAAAAGTGCAAAAGATCTTCTAACCAGCATTGACTTTGTGTGTAATTTGCCACAGAATGAACATATTCAAGTTTGTTTAACTACAAGAATTAAGTTGTTTTAGTTGAGGGTTAAGGTTATGCTTAACAAAACACCATTAGGCTTAAGCTAGATCATTACTACAGTAGAACCCCTCATATCCGACCTCGGCATATTCGACTCTTTAGGACATCCGACCTAGTGGCCGACCGTATACTCGTTTCCTGTCTGGAGCTATAACGCCAAGTACATACGGCTCCTCAAAAAGTCAATCACATCATGTTGCCCTAATTGCAGCAGACCATCACCGCTATTGCCAAAGACCACAAGATGAGCTCACGGGTGTTGCTGTTACTATGGGTAACCAATACCTGTGTCTCCGAAAGTGCAAGATGTGTTCATGAGTGTTGGTCTCGGAAGACGATAACCGGAGTCTTGGTAGATGATTTCTGCTGTTGCCAAAACTGTACGATATGCTTCTTCCGATATCCGTATCCGACCTTTTGGCCGTTACGACAATGACTTGGTCCCGTTATGGTTGGATATGAGGGGTTTTACTCTATGTCTGTACCCATCTAAATTCTGCTGGAGACTTACACTCCTCTCTTGGTTGCACCCTGACATGGGTTATTGGTCACAACCTATCAGCCATATAGCCTTATTGTAGTTTTGGTACACCATTTCCTTGGGGAGTACTATATTTGGCCTTGATATTGTCTTAAAAACCTAATGGGGCTCTTCTGCCATCTTTGTTAAAATTAATCATTTAGGATAATTCTACTTAATCCACTACAGTTTTGTATGTTGTATACAGAAGATCATGGTGAGGATGTGCAGTGACCTTTGACCTGATAGATTGAGCACCTAATCTAACCTAACCTGGATTCTTTGAACCCTTGATCACTCAGACAAACCCCCATCTCAAAGATAGTGACAGTGTAGAGAAAAAATATGAGGCTGTTTCTCTGTGTACAGGTTTTATTGAGGTTAAAGAGGTGCCGGTGAGTGTAGTGGCCGCTGGGGAAGAAGAGACTAAACCCTCCACAGCTCCTTCTCTTTGTGTAGTTTTTATTGTGTATCTGTGGTGACTGTTTTACTGTGTACAGGTTGTATTGAGGTTAAAGAGGTACCAGTGAGTGTAGCGGCTGCTGGGGTAGAAGAGACTAAGCCCTCCACAGCTCCTTCTCTTTGTGTAGTTTTGTTGTGTATCTTTGGTGACTGTTTTTCTGTGTACAGGTTGTATTGAGGTTAAAGAGGTGCCAGTGAGTGTAGCGGCTGCTGGGGTAGAAGAGACTAAGCCCTCCACAGCTCCTTCTCTTTGTGTAGTTTGGTTGTGTATCTGTGGTGACTGGTTTTCTGTGTACAGGTTGTATTGAGGTTAAAGAGGTACCAGTGAGTGTAGCGGCTGCTGGGGTAGAAGAGACTAAGCCCTCCACAGCTCCTTCTCTTTGTGTAGTTTTGTTGTGTATCTTTGGTGACTGTTTTTCTGTGTACAGGTTGTATTGAGGTTAAAGAGGTACCAGTGAGTGTAGCGGCTGCTGGGGTAGAAGAGACTAAGCCCTCCACAGCTCCTTCTCTTTGTGTAGTTTGGTTGTGTATCTGTGGTGACTGGTTTTCTGTGTACAGGTTGTATTGAGTTTGAAGAGGTGCCGGTGAGTGTAGCGGCTGCTGGGGTAGAAGAGGCTAAGCCCTCCACGGCCCCTGGAGTCAAGCGAGAAGGTAATGCAAGTCAGTGGTCTGGAGGTAAACAGTCCCGCCGGACCACCTCCCTCCTCAACCTCTTCATGTCCAACTCCCACGGTACGTTCATCCTGTTTATCTCTTTTATTATTTACCCCTTCGATTCTTTGTCGTTTTTCCCCTATCTATTATTCCAATTTTGCAGTTTATTTTGGTGTAGGAGCATTATGATACGTGTATTTTGTTTTTTAGATTTCCGCTTCGTTTAAGTTCAGAGTTGCTTTGATCTTCCAACTTTTGTTACGTTTGGTAGGTGACATCATCCGAACTGACTTTAGTTCATGTAAAAGGTTCAAATTATCCCGGTGTATGATCAAATTCTTTAATACTTATTGTACCGCTTTCTAATTTTGAGGAATCGTTCAATTTTTGATTTTCTGTTACACCTTGTTATTCAGGGCTATATTAAATATAATTGCCAACAATTATTTAGGTTCAAAACACATAACCATATTAAGATTCAATGCCAGTGAACTGGGATGGTCAAGAGATTTATATAGGCTACAAGAAAATTCTTTTAAAATGTCTTATTTTAACATCACAGTACCAAAAGGAAATTTTTAATACTGGTAGAGAAGAATCAAAACCAATAACTGACAAACAATATGATTTATAATGAATTCATGATTCTAGTAAACGCAAAAGGTAACATGAAGGAACGGAGCTCTGTTTCATTGACCACAAAACTTCCTGGTCAAAATATGTCCATATCTTTCACCTTGCTCGTAGAAGAACTGATGATATAATGTGAATTAAAGAAGACAAATTGAAAAAAGACGTACTTTCTTTGTCGATAGCAAATGAACTACGAGTTATCAATTTATAAAATACATTTCAATATTGCAGTCTCCTGATTTTGAAAATGGTAAGGGTATAATCTGAGTTTAATAAACACTAATCAAAACGTGATGCTCAGACATGCATTCAATTCCTTGATACACTTTGTATATTTTGGCATGAAAACTCTTGGGCAATGGGTTAACGTTGAAAGTCTTTTGCTTCTATGTATATGCCCGTGATATTTGTACTCTTATTTTTATTGTATATAAATGGTTATGTATTATGTTGTCTGTATATATACAAAACAGTATATAGAAAAACTTTAAAATACTGGGAACTGACCTCTTGGTTTTCTATTTATTAGGATCGGTCAAACAGAAATAACGTGTTTGTTTTAAAGATTAGTTTTGATGAATTTTTCTCCTCACATAAAAGTTTAATAAAATGTGAATCAACGTATGTTTTTTAACTTAGGGTTTAAGTATTAGAATTATCGTATCACCTGTAATGTAACTATTATCAATTATAGCTTAGGCGCCGTTGTGATAATTCTTTATCAAAAAATGTGGATGAACGAAAGCAATATTTCCCTTAATCTATGGGGTCCATCAGGAATGTTGAAGCACATTCCTAATATGTAATGTGTGTTTTTCCAATGTCCCTGTAGTTCTCCATCATTTGAATGTTTGAACAAATCTTTCATAAGTCTTGCGTTACATCCTCACATAATTGACGGTTGTTAACGATTGTTAAGAATATCCCAAGAAATTTTTAGAACACTTATCTTTCTGCTTTTTGTATCTTAAAGTATTTTTTGATATTTTTTTGGAAAATTGTCTTATTTTTTACAACTCTCTTAACTCCTTTAAAATCTGTCTTTGTATTTGTTTTGTTGTTCTTTTTTCTTGTTTTAGATCCCCCAACATTTTTCCTTTGGTAAGTCATGTTGTAATTTGCATGGATTTGTGCTGTTTTGTTTTTGTTACATCTTTTATTACTGTGTTCAAAGTTGTTTTTATAGTTTCTTCTAGGTTTTTATATCTCCCGAAAAGAAGAATCTGAACGGATACAATAGGTTGGTAACAAAAAAGTATCTGTTAGAGACTTCTGGATCCATATAATTAATCTTGATATCATTTTTAGGTAATATTACTAAACATAACACATGAATATGCACATACATTTATAATTCTAAAGAAAATAATTTCTACAACATTATTAATTTTTATAATGCATATTGTTAACCATCATCATTTGTTTGTTTTTAGATTTTGAACCTGAGTATATTAACTGCTTAGTGTTTGCACTTTGTTTATGTTTTGTTGCATTTTTTATTGTTGACTATCTAATACTTGTAGGATATTTAACATTTTTGTATAACAACAGTGTGTTTTGAAAAATAATAGCATCTATGCTAATCCAGATAATATTACAGTACATCTATTAATCATCTTAATTTTTACCAAAATAAACTATCTAGTTAAGTGTATCAGTACAAAATAAATGTATGAGAATCTTAAACACACAAAGATATGTGCATTTTTAATAAGAATTTGTTTTCTCAAAAATTTTTTACCAGTGTGTAATAAATCTTTAAATTTATATACAGGGTGTTGAAAATGTCTGGAACCAACATTATATCTCGTGAGTGGTTAAAGAAAAACAACTGATATTTTGTGTACGGATATACTATGGTTTTACCTATCTTTTAGTGCCTTATGAAAATTTTTACCACTTATAGGGAACGTCCTGTGGAGGATGCAGTAAAAAGTTTTAATGGAAGCCTATGGTAAATGATACATCATTTTAAAGGCCATTTTTTTCTGAGTAAGGAGCCACAAGTTTCATCTTAAAAGGACCACCCTAGCAAAAATGGCGACTGTTTGAAATTTAAAAAAACACTTATAGGGAACGGAATTTTTAAATTTCAAACAGTCGCCATTTTCGCTAGGGTGGTCCTTTTGAGATGAAACTTGTGGCTCCTTACTCAGAAAAAAATGGCCTTTAAAATGATGTATCATTTACCATAGGCTTCAATGAAAACTTTTTACTGCATCCTCCACAGAACGTTCCCTATAAGTGGTTATTTAAATTTCAAACAGTCGTCATTTTTGCTAGGGTGGTCCTTTTGAGATGAAACTTGTGGCTCCTTACTCAGAAAAAATTGGCCTTTAAAATGATGTATCATTTACCATAGGCTTCCATTTAAACTTATTACTGCATCCTCCACAGGACGTTCCCTATAAGTGATAAAAATTTTCATAAGGCACCAAAAGATAGGTAAAACCATAGTATATCCGTAAACAAAATATCATTTGTTTTTCTTTAACCACTCACCAGATATAATGTTGGTTCCAGACATTTTCAACACCCTGTATAATATCCATACTATGGATTAAAGTACTTTTTTCAGAGCAGTTAATGAAATTTATTATTTATGATATTACTGTTAAATTGAACCCTTTGCAAAGAACTCATCATCGGTTTCAAAAGTTAAAGCTTAATATCATAGTGCATCACTTTGACTCAAAACAAAATTTACACTGAAAAGTAAAATTGTCAATGAATATTCTCCCAGAAAACCACCATTCAATTTCAATGTGGATTAAAAACATTATTACCATTCATCCTTGGAATTTTTTACATATTTTTATGATCTGAATTACCTAATCCAAAATATTTAACAAAGATGTTATGGACTTCCCAAAATTATACGGAACAATGAAAGAAATAATATTTTTTTATATTTGTCTCTTATAATCGTGGTTTATACAGTTTTTCCTTGAATGTATTCTCATCTACTCCTTGAACTGTATACTTGCATATATATTACCAGGTGTGCTACTTGGATTTTATTATTTACATATCAAATTCATCAAGGTTGGATACTAACCCAATAGCTTTGGAGTTTTATGTGTGTTTTGGTATGGGTGGTTGATTACAAGCTACAGTTAAGTTGTTCATCCAGTTCCTAAAGTTGTGGGTTGAGTACAATATCTCTAATAGAGTGGTTAAACTAATTTATACACCAAAGCAGACATGATTTGGGATTTGAAACAATATGTATTAATTATTTTTGAATAAATTAAAAATAAATTTTCATCCATAACCACTCAGGAGCGAGCTGAGTTATTTTTATAGCGTGGGACTTAGATTCCCTTGGTCCTGGGTCAAAATCCCGCTGATCACCAATTATTTTATTTAAGTGATAGTGCCAAAATTTCTAGGCCTTGCCTAACGCGAAAAACAATCCGTCCTGCACCCAGTTAAAAAAACCACTCGGGGACTGCTCGGCTACCAATCAGACCCGATGGTTGGTGGTCTCACTGCTTTACAACCCTAGTGCTATTGCACAAGCAGATGAGATTAGTTTCAGTTTCCCCACATAGGATACAGCTTATGTTATGTACAACCAAGGTATAAAGTAAAACTTCGTTAAAACCGTGTCCAATGACCTGGGAGCATTTGTTGACAACAAGACACGTTCGACAGTGTTTTCGGGCAGTTGGCTAAGGTAGACTAGACTAATAAAAATGACGTGACACACATTAATAGCTGTAACTCTTTATTTTAACAGGACTTTCGTTATCCTTGCAGTAACAGCTCATTAAGATAATACTCAGCAGTTCAGAATTTTCGGTACCCTGGCATTTTTTTAAGTCCTGGATTTGCAAGAGTAATGTACTGCCTTGGACAGTTTTTTTTTTTTTTTTGTATTTTGATGAAAGCCAACAAAAATGGTACTACACCTTGTCAAGGGTTGAATACGATTATTTTTTAAATGTGTTTCAGTAGATTATGGTTTGATTCATACTTAATATTCGGTTAATGTTTCTTAATTTTTAATATCCCAAATCAGAAAGTCTTTTAAATTGTTTGTAATCTTTTGTAAATTACTCTCTAACACCTAATTTAAATTTTCAGTTTTTATTTTTTTTACAGTTCTCTTCCACCCTACCAAACAGCAAATATTGGTATTCGCACATTAATATATATGGTAACATGCCTACTGTTGTCATTAATAATTTCCCTAGCACATACATCCTCCTGTTTGATATTGGTCACCAATTTGAGTGAATTGTTTACTTCTATGTAATTAAAAGACTTCAACATCTGTCAAAACTTATGAAGTGACACATTAATTTTTTTGAAGTTAAAAAGTTACAAAATAATGTTTGGGATGGACAAAGAGTTAGACACAAAATTATCTGATGGAGATTACTTGTTCTTAATTGAATTATTGTCCTAATTCCTTGAATAATCATTCTCAGACAAAAAAGTCTTTAGTTCTTGTTGAACATGTCACATTAAAATCTTTTGATGCCATGATACACGTATCAACAATCACAATAATGTGCACTTAAAAAATCACAAATTCAGCCAGATTTTTACTGATACAACATAATTCAAGACTAGGCTAGTGAATGAGGGAGATCTTTTCTCTGAACCAACCCCCCCCCCCCCCTCAGTTCATGTTAGGTCCCAATTTTTGATTGTGTATCTGCACAGTTTTTCCATTGCTTCATCAAAGACGCTATTTCACCGATATCAAAACTTGTCATTTAAAACAATAATGTACGTTTTCATCCCCAAAACAAATTTTCAAAATTTTATAATTATTGGTTAGTTTAGACATACAAGGAAACGTTAAAAAATGTTGTCAAATCAAAGAGTTTACTTTGTTAGCTATTTGAACTTTGGATTTCGACTTTTACAGGAATTTCAATTTGTTTGGCTATAAATATAAAGTAAGATTCATATTATAGCGCTGCTTGGCTCACATTAAGAATTTTGTTGTAATTTAATTTAGCTTCACCAATATTAAGTTGTCCACCACAATCACACTATCAGAAAGTTACCAATGACATTATTATGAACTCACACAGATACTTAGATTAAAATCAAACAAACTCATAAAATTTGACATTATCTTTGTTTCAGACAAAGCCAATAGAATAAATTCAACATAGTCATCTCACACTGCCTACTCCCGGTTCTGAAAAATAATCCTGCTAGCTTATAGTTCAAATCAAAACATCTTTATTCAAGCTGTACATACATACATGAATTGTGTCACAGAAACACAAAACACCATTCACAGTTCATGTTTATTTAACTGGCCAGTGGCCACAACTGGTCTAGTGGTGTCTCTGGATAGAGGGACTTCTGTCATGTGGAATCAGGTTCAAATCTTGCCAATCACTAATGGAAATTCACTTTTAAGCCCACATCCCAAATACAGTAGCTCGGTTGTTCAGTAGGGTCTTGGTCAGATAAGCCATTACTGGTTTAAGACCACTGTCTGCACTCTATAGTGATGGGGAGCGAGCTGGTGTAGTGGTTAGAGCATGGCACTTCGGTTCCTGAGGTACCGGGTTCAAATCCTGCCAAATCACCAATGGATTTTATCTAAGTGATAATGCCACAACCCCCCTAGTCTAGCCTGAAGTAATGTGAAAAACAATCCCGGGCTCGTGCCTAGCGTCCTAGGAAAAAAAATGGCAGCTAAGATGTATTTGAAACAAAACAAAAAATAATTGAAATTTCACTGTGATAATGCTAAAATTTATGGTTCAGAACCCACCTTAAGCTGTGTCAAATCAAATCCACCTACGAAACAAAAAATATACATCTCTGAGGTGTGAAGAACTGTGTCCGTTATTGAAGATCTCCCTCTACTTCTACTAGTAGCCATACTCTTATTTTTACTTACACTAGATTATACACCTTTTAAAAGTGTCCAAACAGTGGGATGTATGTGTAGGGAAGGTATGGATTGTGTTGTGGTGCGTGAGTGCAGTGTGCTTGTTGCAGGCAGCGGAGGGGTGGGGACCAAAGACGGCGGGGGGGCACCAACTTCAGCCCCCACTAGCCCCACTACCTCTGCCAACGGTCCCCCATCTGCCATCTCTACCAACTTACTTGCCAGAAACCCCCTGCGAGGATCAAAATGTAATTAATATCTCTGCATACATTTTCTTTTCTGTACGTGGACAAATGGTTAATATACTGAATGTGTAGCTTGGTTTGCATCTTGCACTTGAGTGCGGGATTGACGGGTTTGATCGCTGGTATACCTGGACGAAAATTTGACGGGTTTATACCAATTTGTTTCTTTCAAATCGTTTGTAATTATTTCAACAAAAATTCCACTGGCATGGACACAGCAAATTTATTTTTAGATTTTCAACATTGATCTCTGAAAGTATCCTAATTTTAAAGTTTATCAAGTATTTCTTGTAAAAACTGGTGAACTAAGATGACATTTGAACTATTTTTTCCGTATCCATGATAATACCACCTGTTTTAACAGCCTTTTAAAGATTTTTAAGTGAAGCTTCACCATAAGATTTTGAGTGTGTTGCTAGCCTAGTAATTACTGTACCAGACTTCAGTGCGGGAGAACAAATTTGATTTCTGGCTTAAGCCAAATTCCTCAAACAAAAAGGGGGAAATTGAGGGGTTTAGAACGCTTTCCTAAAAGAGTTACTTTCTTACAAAATGCCACTGGCACAGACCCTAACTAAAAAAGATAGATTTAATCAGAAATGTTTCTTTACTATGCTATCTTATTTTCTACCTTAGTAGACTTTAAAGGAAAAGTCCAAGTTTAACCATTTGTCCATATTCATGTTTATATTATTGATGTAAGCACATTATACATATCTAATTGTTGTTTGGCAGTGTTACCTTTTCAGACACATTTACATATTTTGTCACATGCACTTGTATGTAAAAATCTAGGTTCAATAGCAGAACTATTTTTTGTTTCATTACTTTATAAAAAGAGTAATGTATCACATTATTTTATGTTTTTATGTTGCTTTGTGGAATTTTTTTTATGTTTCAATGTTTATCCACTTTCCATTTTGTATATCACACCAATTGTTTTTAATAAGGGGGAGGGGGTGAGACTTTAAGTTGTTTTTTTATTTCAGTAAATTTTTTAACTATAATTTACCCATAATTTTAAATGGACCATTTTTAAAATTAATGATAAACGATGAAATAAGAAAAATCCATTATAGCCTATTTATTATAACAATTTTACAAATAATCAATTTTTAAAATAAAATTGAACCAAGTTTAGAGCATTTCTCATTGCAAAACTTTTTTTTTATCTTATTAGGATTCCTCCCTAAAAGATTTTAAAACTGATATATTAAAAAAAATTTGCTGAGATGGAAAAATATTTTTTTCAAGACATAAAGTTTTTACTGATACTATGGTTAAATTTTTTATAGTTGATCCAATAAATAATATATTTTTAAAACTATAAAGAATATTTCATTGTTTGTAGGTGTTTTTTTAAATACTATGGTGTTCTGTGCATCTGCATGTGGGTTGTGTACTAATTTTTTCTGCATGTGCTTTTTGCTGGTTATAATTTAAGTTTTAATTGTTTTGAACTGCATGTTTATAATCAATTCCGAGCTTAACCACAAAAATAGTTAACACTTTATAAACACAAGCTTCATAATTCATTACCATTAAAACTAAATTTTATATAATGAAACTCCTATTGTAGTCATATACTGTAAATACTACAAAAAAGTTTTTTTTAGAAAATCTAGCAACATTTAGATCTATGAAGAAATCTGCATAAACATAAAAAATCTGAATTAAGATTAAACATAGTCCTGATCTTGTAAAAATAAAATATTTTTGTATATCTAAAGATTCAACTTAACTAGATTAGCCACTATGTATTTAATGTACAGTCACACCTTGGTACTAATAATTCTTGTATAAAACTACAGTTGTAAATTCCTTATTTGTTCAATTGTAGCTTGAAAGCAATGTAAAATATATTTTTAATTTCTTTTACCGTTTGTAAGTTCAACTCGGTGATCTGTAGAGGTCGCAAGCAGATTTTTTAGATTTTTTCCCCAATTACATTGTCTAATATTCTACAAGGGAATTTTTTAATACAGTCAGTTTTGTAGCTTTTTAAACTCCCAAATAAATCAATGTTGTTATCGAGTATCATGAACATGAAAAATTCACAATATGGTTTGCACATCAAAAATAAGCATAGTAATGGGTGATAGGATAATATAAAATCAGAATCAGAAGTTTAATACCCCTGTCACAGCAAATATGTACACTGCGTGAATTGTTAGTGGCTTAAAATGAAATTTAAATTGTTGCCAATTCCAGTTGCTTTTGTCAGGTTTGTAAAACTGTTATATTTCCACAGAACTTGCATTTCTTTGGGTCATTTAAACTCTTCTTTCTCCTTTTATTTTTATTATGACACTGAATTAGGACTCAAGGTATCATATAGTGTATTTAATCCAGCAATCCTGAAATTAAACAAGTTCTCATAGTAATGCGCAGACAAACGTCTAAACAGTCTTACATAGTATTTACTTAAGTGTTTCTTACCGATTTCTTCTCAGTTTCATATCTCCAAAAGTGAACTACCTGGACATTATAATCATCCTAATTTCCTGTTTTATTTCCACTCCTCTTTCCATATGGCGGGATTGTTTTTATGTTTAAGAATGTAGGGGGCTTCTTTCCATTCACACCAATATTTGGGAAAATCCTATTTTGATATGCAGAGTTGTTCGTAAAGTGCATTGTGTAACTTAGTTGTTCAAAATATTTTAAAATATGACCAATTCCATAAAATTTTACGTTAAAAATCGTTCTGGCATACACATTTTTAATGTCTTCGTGGACATAGTAAAGCGTGAATCTCATGCTCAAGGTGGTGCATGTACAGTATTATGAACATCAAAATAAATTACAAATCCCCCACATTTTTTTGGTTTGCCTGTCTTTAAAATTGTCTGAATTCTAAGTAGAGTGCCAAACATATTACTTTATAAGTAATAAAAAAACTTAGATTAGAAGAATAATTTATCCGCTTATGTTTATGGTGTATTAATGAAACAACTTCTAGGGCACTTATCAGTTTATAAACTCACTAAGTTCGTCCAAAATCATTAGTGATAACATTATAACTTCCAGTTACAACTTTGGCAAAACATTACGACAATCCTGATTTTCTTGTGAAAGATTTCTGTTGAAGTGTAAAGACAAAATGTAAGGCTTTATTGCTTCACAAATTTTATATTTACCATCTTAATAAAGTTTTAAAAATCAATTTTAAATAAATTCTCTGTTAGGAATTCAAGTGTATTCAAGCCGTGACAACCACAAAATCCAAGCGTATGAAGGAAAGAAGGCCCTAACGCCTATGTTTAGTGTGATATTGTAGTATGCCAAGTGTGTTTCAGTGATATGTTGACTGACTGGAGTATGTTGACAGGGCCCGAGTCGAGGGATTCTATATCATCTTCACCTACCATGTATTATTCTAGCATCACCGCCTGGACGACAGGTTTAAAACCCTACAACACTGCGTAGAACGAGAGCACACATTCATGTTTTGTAGTTACTATTAGTTTTGCCGTTTCTGATTCATCCTTTTACACATCACTTCTATAGTTTGATTTATCGATTGTGTTTCCTCAAATATAGTCAATTTATGTCCAATTTTTTGCCTAAAATGTTTAAGTTTTGATTTAATCTGAAAAAAATATTTCTAGGGTGAACTTTTTGAAAGATTTGAAATAGCTGTTTTTCACTTTAATTCTAACTTAGGTGTTAGGATGATTACAATAAATTATATTACACAACTCTGAAAGTAATAAATTAGCCGTGTTATTATTATGATTACAATAAATTATATTAAACAACTATAAAAGTAATAAGTTAGATGTGTTGTTAGGATGATTACAATACATTATATTGAACAGCTCTGAAAGTAGTAAATTAGACGTGTTGTTAGGATGATTACAATAAATTTACATTAAACAACTCTGAAAGTAATAAATTACCATGTTGTTAGGATGATTACAATAAATTTATATTAAACAACTCTAAAAGTAATAAGTTAGATGTGTTGTTAGGATGATTACAATACATTATATTGAACAGCTCTGAAAGTAGTAAATTAGACGTGTTGTTAGGATGATTACAATAAATTTACATTAAACAGCTCTGAAAGTAGTAAATTAGACGTGTTGTTAGGATGATTACAATAAATTTACATTAAACAACTCTGAAAGTAATAAATTATACATGTTGTTAGGATGATTACAATAAATTTATATTAAACAACTCTAAAAGTAATAAACTAGACATGTTATTAGGATGATTACAATAAATTTATATTAAACAACTCTAAAAGTAATAAACTAGACATGTTATTAGGATGATTACAATAAATTGTATTAAACAGCTCTGAAAGCAATAAATTAGACGTGTTGTTAGGATGATTACAATAAGTTTATATTAAACAACTCTGAAAGTAATAAAGTAGACGTGTTGTTACTATGATTACAATAAATTATATTACGCAACTCTGAAAGTAATAAATTAGACGTGTTGTTAGGATGATTACAATAAATTTATATTAAACAACTCTAAAAGTAATAAACTAGACATGTTATTAGGATGATTACAATAAATTGTAGTAAACAACTCTGAAAGTAATAAATAACACGTGTTGTTAGGATGATTACAATAATTTATATTAAACAGCTCTGAAAGTAATAAATTAGATGATTTGTTAGGATGATTACAATAAATTGTATTAAACAACTCTGAAAGTAATAAATTAGATGTGTTGTTAGTATGATTACAATGCATTATATTAAACAACTCTGAAAGCAATAAATTAGACGTGTTGACATCAATGTCCTGTCTTTACAATATTACGTTTTATATTTTAAAATCGCTATTAATGGCCATACCATTTATTTTTAAATGGTTATCCCATCAGCTAATAATTAATTTTGAGGTGTCAATGTGCAATGTTGAAGAACCACATTGTATGAAATTAAAATAAGTAACTCAAACCTTGAAATTATAAAAATATCAGATAGGCCTAGTTAACAGAAAATAATACCACTAAAAAAGAATACTAAGTAACAAAATAAAAAACTACTTTAATTCTTTCCTCAGATGTTTTAAGTAATATTTAAAGACTTTAGAAATATAAACAATAAGGCACTAGTTGCCGCATCTGTGATCAACAACCAGCTTAAGACATAGACCCAACCTTTGGATCCATATCCATATTAACTTATCTATATTCTACAACTATAACTCCTTCTCATTACAAATCAATTTAATCTCTACATTTTCACATTCTAATTTCTAATTGTAAGAGCAGGATAAAATTTGACTGACCTTTAAAGATTTTAAAACTGTTGTTAGATTTAGTTTGCGTCTGGTTTTATGCTTATTTTTATTCTGTAGCACGTCAGTAAAGTACTTTGTTTTAAGTCCATTGTTTAGCGTCCATAATTGTAAACAATTGCTTCCTTCTTTGTTTGTTGACGTTTTTGTATTTATGCTCCTAAAAGAATAAAGATAAATAATTTTGGAAAAATAACTCCTAAAGGGTTAATAAAACGTAAATAGACATGAAGAAATTTCAGTCTTTATTTAAATATATATATGAATCAAATATTTAATGTGCACATGTTTGTCCTTTATAAAAATATCAACTGTGAGTAAATTATTTAATGATTTTAGATAATATCATTTGTCATGGAAAAACTGTTTGTGATGTGTAAATCATTCTCATTTTACTTTATCAGGAGATATAACATCAGTAAAACATTTAAAAACAATTAAATTAATCAAATACATAAATAATTTCAATACTGGTAACAATATATCTTTAAGATACTTATGCAACTTTAAGAGTGTTTTTGTTCACAATTTACAACGTTTTTTGTTGTGTCTTATTGTGCTTCCCCTATTTACTAAGAGAAGTATTTAAGATTTATCAATTTTTAGTTAGTAATTTAAGTTAGACTTGATTTCAGCAGAGTTTTTGCACTTTAGTTTTTAAAACTAAGGCATATAATATCAACTGCAGCTCAGCACTCCACTTAGCTTTCTGCATGCCTCATCAAATGCAGCTATAGAATTAGTCGCTCTATTATTAGGTCTTCTTTCTGTTCTGTTTTAGAACTTTATTTAGGGCCAACTGAAAGATGCTAAAACTACAAGAATTTTCTTAAAACCTAAAAAATACCTAAAAGTATAACATCCCTAGGTATAAATTAAAATTAACTGTCAAATAATTTATGGAATCCTATGCCAAGAGGTAATTAATTTTTTATTGTTTTTCAAACTTTACATTTTTTAAATTAAAAGGTAGAATAACCTTAACTATAGTTTAAATACAGGGTGTTTTTAAAAGACTGCCGGGATTTCAAACGGTCGTTGCTCGGGGACTATTCATGATAATTAAACGATTTAAACGTCAAGTTGAAGGGAAAAGAATAAAGTTTTTTTCTCATTCTTTCATACGATTCAAAATTATTTAATAAAATGCTGATTTTCATCAATCTTGTATGAGCGTAAAACTGGCAAAGTCTGTACGCTTAGGGCGATCGGCGGGTTTATCTGATGTCTTAATGAACCTTTTTCGGCACAAAGACTCTATCTTTTATAGATAACATCATAAAGTGACCAATTTAGGTTTGTTAAACTGAAGACTTTGTTGTGCAATCGATTTTTTCGGGCTTCTGATGCAGAATTGTTGGATTTCTTCGACTATGTCATCGCTTGTTTTTAGCCGGCCAGGTGAATGTCTTTTCAAAACACTTCGGTGTCACAAAACTTATTAAACCAGCTTCAAGTTTCTTTATCATCAAGCAGATAAAATTTAGTTTAATTTATCAATGGATATAAACTCTGTGAACTACAGTTTACAATCTTTGCCTTCTGTTGCGCCCTAAACGTACTGGCGTCAGGCATATGAGTCACAATAGCGGCCTATCGCCCCGCACCTGTTTTATGCATGCCAAGGTCAAAGTGTCGTCCTCCTTTGCTACACAGGAGACAAAACGTAGTTATTTTAGCTTCAATTTGACGTATAAAACGTTTAGTTACCTTGAATAGTATCCAAGCAATTACCATTTTAAATCCTGGCATTCTTTGAAAAACACCCTACTTAAAACCAGCCTAATTAAAATTATGTTACAATCAAATTAAAACTTGTTCATGTCCTTAAAAATGTACTTATGTTTTTTTTAATTTTTTCCTCCCCAGCTAAAACAGTTTTTTTCTCTAAATATATCAGATTTCAAACCCATTTTCATGTATTATGTATGGAAATACCCTTTGACAAGTACCAGCATTAAACTTAGTTAAAATGCTCTAAATATCTAAAGAAGGGAAATGAGGAATAATATTGTCAATTTGAAGGCAATGGGATTTTAAGATTGATTTGATTTTTTTATTATTAAGTTAATGATTGTTTCAAACTGAAACACAATACACAATTCATAGTTTATTTACATCCACTGTCGACTGAAAGTAGAATAATTTTGTAGTCTATTTTGGTTTAGTTTACATTGTTATCTTTCATATATTTTACTATAATTATTATTTTTAAAGCTATTTTTATAAACAATATTTATTGATAATAACTGGAAAATATTTTCTACAGTTAGAAAACAATATTTAGTAACTTAAATTTTAACCTATTATGTATGATTTTTTTCAGGCTGCTATGTTTTTCACAGTTTTTAGCAATAATTAAATAATTCTCATTATAGCTTTTGCTGTCACTAATATTAATTTTAGTCTGTTTTATCCATATTTTTAGGGTTTTTAAGGAGTAGGAGAGATAAGCGCAAGGAAAAGAAAGCTAAGAAGAAGAAAGATGGGAGTCAAGACAGTACGAGCTGTAAAGATGAAAAGTCAGATGTGTAAGTCAATATTGAATCAAATTTGTATTTATCATTAATAATAATTGATGGTAACATTTGCTATAAATAAATTATTAACATTTTACTGTCAAGAACTATTAATGCAATGCAATATGAGGAATAATTGTGGATTGGCCAACAATTAATAAATAAGTTTTCTCCAAGTTTTGGGATCTGGAAACTGATCCCATCCTTAGATGAGATAGCACCGTAGCACTAGAAAAGTAACAATGTTGTACAGAATCCAGCCAAAACATAGCAAAGAACCATACAAATTATTATGTACAGTAGAACCTCAATCAACTGTCACCCTTTTAACCGTCAATTCAATTCAATTTATTAATCACAAAAATTCACAATACAGAGGCTGGATATCAGCAATGAATATGTGACATGTCAGTACAAATCATGCATTATAAATTGTTTACACATAATAAATAAACAAACATGTCACTCTCTGTTATCCGTCACCCCGCTACATTACTTAGATTATTTTATTTTACTGTACAAGTACAAACATTGAACAAGTACAACATACAGAATGGAAAGTTCTGTATTACTCTTGTATGTAAGTTCTCTTGTATGTTAAACAAATATTTATTATTCACTTGTATAGGGCTTAATTTCTTCCAATCCGTTTGAATCAACTTATTGTACAGGTTTACAACAGAATTTCTGTTATCCAGCTATTTTTTTTACCCATCACGCTACCGGTCCCGAGGGTGACGGTTAGTAGAGGTTCTACTTTAGTAGCCAAATTAGGTACTAATACTAATGAAAATTACTGCACTAAACTGCACAAAACTTACACAAACTACTGCAATATTTCTTTGGGATCTCAGTTTTATTGGAACAGGCCTATTGTACAGTCAAATGTTGTTTCTTTTAAATTAAAATCTTCAGTAGTTTTTGTTAATAATTATTCTTACTTGTAGGCCTAGTTATTTTTGATGTTTCAAAATATATGCATGATTATTTTGGTGTGATTCTTCCAGGTACAGATGGATTGCATGGGAAGTTTCTTATGCTTTAGTTACCATCTTAGCTTAGAATTAAGTTTAGTATTCAGATCTCGAAACATTATCAACACCTTTTTCAGTAATTATGATGGGAAATGTCCAAATAATTTCTCATAAACTCACCATAAGCAACCACAAATTTCTTATCATATGTTAATGAGTCATCAAATCAGTTGTTATGATTACTCTACTCAGTTGGTTTAGAGCCCTGATTATGTTGAAGATTATACAGTATATAAGCATAAAGTGAATTAATATAAAGTTATTACCTTTTCTGCTGATTAAAATGAGATAGCATGGTTAGGTAGTTATTTGTATAGTTTTAGCACTATTTAAAAACCTTGATGCATCTATTGTTAATTATCTTCAATTAATTGTTATATATAAAGAGACATATTATTTTGTTAATTCAAATTAACTTACTTTTCCTACAGTTACCTAACAACATTGTTACAACTGTGTCTGTTACAACATTGTGACTGTTGTATCAGTTTTTAATGTTTTTGTACATACATGTTCTCTCACTAATTTGAGAAAGCAAAGTGGCCAGTTCGCTCATCAGTGAGCTCTAATTACTTAGTCTCACTCCAGATTTGCAACGTGAAGGCACGAAAGTGGCCAATTCGCTCATCAGTGAGACAATGTTAACATTGTCTCACTCTAATTACTTTGTCTCACTCCAGATTTGCAACGTGAAGCCACGTTTCTTTACCAATTTATTTGTTTTATGGTAACTGTAGGAAAAATATAATGTACAACTTGAGTGCAAAGTGCAATCGCCTCACTCAAGAAACCATTCCTCACTCGCCTACGGCTCGTGAGTAAGGATTTCTGAGGCAATTGCTCACTTTGCTCACTAGCTGCACAAATAACTATTGATAAGCACCTTTTTCGGAAAAGTTCCCCTTACCCTTTGAAACTGGAAGTCAGAGTGTACTCCTCTTACTTTGCCAATTAAGTTACTTTTTACAATGAAATTAAATAAATAAATATACCTCTTTAAATAGTATTATTTTTTTTATGACAAATATGGGTTTTCTTGTTCTAAATAAAAAGCTCGTCCTCCTGGAAACAGATAAGTACCTTTTTAATATTAAAAATTAAAAATTAAAAATAATAGTTTTGCTTGTAAACAGTTGATTGATAAACAATGTTGCGTCAGGTTACTTGACCAAATATTTGTGAGTCAAGCTGCAGTAGTTGTGATTATGTCGAGCTAGGCATTTAACATTAGTCAGCTGATAAGTGACTCAGTCATGCAGCGGACAGTTGAATCAGAATTACAACATGAGTTTCTTGAGAAAGTTTAGGTTAGTATTTATGTTCGATTAGCCTATTTTTTACCAATTTGTATATGGCTCATGAATGACACGTATTTTTAAATGAAATTATAATAAAGATTCTATGACATTGACTTCCTGATGAATTATAATTATTGATGCAAAGTCTTCCATAGAGTTTGACTTAAAAACAACATCATTATAGATAGCCATTGAAATTGTATTTTAACTTAATATCATTTTATTAAATTACGTTATTAAGTTTATAAGTCATAACATAGTATAGTCATAAAAATACTATATTATATAGTTATATTAGTATAGTTATAGTTATAGTCATAACATTATTGAATAACAAAGTAGAGGTGTGCAAGCCTAGGATATGCAAGCCAAACTTGAGTTGATAGATAGTGTAAAGTAAAATATTATTTAAAAGTTCATACAATAATAAAACAAGAAACTGGTTTTGAAATAAATATTACCTCATATTATCGTTTTCAAAAGTCATATTTTTATATTTTTTTCTTTAGTATGATCTTAAACCTAGAATAGAAATAAACTAACTTAAAGCACATTAGCATGAAAGTGCTTTGGAAAATATATTTGACACACTAAACTCAAATCTTGAAAGAATACAGAATACCCCCGCCGCAGCAAACCTGCAGACTAAGCGAATTTCAATTTGCCTGATTGGATTTACACTAAAATGCCTCCTTAAAAATATCACATTTATTCCCTATTTAAATATAATTATTTTAACGAGTACTTAGGTTTGCTGCAACAGGGAGGGTAAAAAAGTGTTTTTTGTTGTAAAATGTTAATAGTTTAGTAAGAAATTATGTATTTTCCAAATTCAAACAAAACATGTTCATAAACAAGCAAACTACAACAGTTGACTTATTATCCATAAGAATAACATGGGAATTTTAAATTTATAATTTTTTTTTAATTTTCTCCATAACCATTAGGTGCACAACAACGCTTCAAATACTAAATTATTTGTTTTTTTAAGCTCTACAAAATGGTTTGGAAATAAATTGTGAAATTTTGTGTTTTCAGGGTCAAAAATGGAAAAACCTATTTTTACCCCATAAAACCCCCCATTAACCCTTGTTCCCATAGCCGATCATGCTGGTTCGCCAACTCGTTCGAATAAATGTAGGTTTACACGTTAATACCAAAGTTCATCAAAATTGGATCATTTTTGCTTGAGTTATCGCGCTAACGGACACATATATATATATATATATATACTAGCTGACCCGGCGAACTTCGTATCGCCTAAGTTATAGGTTTCCCCTAAGACAGACCGATGGAAAGAAAGTACCGTTACGTTTAATTTTCAAGATGATCTCGTTCGCATCGCTCAATCACGTCCTGGTTGAAGTTCGTTCGCTACGCTCACTCACCTTTGGGTTGGAGCTCGTTCGCTGCGCTCACTTGCCTTTGGGTTGGAGCTCGTTCGCTACGCTAACTCGCCTCCAGGTTAGCTCGTTCGCTACGCTCACTCGCCTCCAGGTTGAAGTTCGTTCGCTACGCTCACTCACCTTTTGGTTGCAAATTAGCTGTTGTCATAAATGTAAAAGAAATAATAGTGCTGCACCCTGTTGGTAATCCTTGTAACTTTAATGCCATTGAACATCATAGAACAGAACCAACTTGTTTAATTGAAACAGCTGTTAAGATTCATTAATTCCATTTCTCATAAGGTTAACATGGGAAACTCCAGAGCCACTGGGGCGGAGCCCTTTTAAGAATTTCGAAACGGGAAATAGTTTACGTCCGATTCGCATACCTACAGAATTTACACACCAAATTTCATAACAATCGGTGAAGTCGTTCCGGAGGAGTTTGCAGACAAACACTGTGACACGAGAATTTTATATATTAGATATGAATTTGAACGGTTGGTTTTTTTGGTCCCTAGGGACATCAAAACGAAAAAGCAAATCGGTCCCGGGTCCAGGTCTTACCATGAGTACTACGGTAATAGCTTATTCCCTAAATGGGAAATTCGCTAATAAAGGGGGATAAATAGTTCTATTTCAAAATTAGAGAAAATTTGTTAACCTCAAATTTGGAATGATTTAGGAAAATACCCATCTGTGCTGTTAAACCTATTTAGGCTATATAACAAATCTAGTATTTACTTAAGGTAGTGGTAACCAAAGAATTTTACATTTTATTATACTTTCCTTCTTCGTGAACACTTTAATAATAAAATATTAAATTACAGCACCCCGTTATACCTTAGCAACGCGTAATGTCTAAAAAAGTCAATTGTTTATGTTTAAAATTTTACTTAAATAATATGATGGTTTTCAACAATGTAACCACAAATTTAACTATGTAGGATTTAAGAACATTAATAGCTTAGTTACCAGCAGAAAAAAACAGTATTAGCATCAGTACATTTGTACATTTGGTGTAGTGTAATAGGCTTTTATCACAATTTGATAATGACTAAAACCCATAATATTATCCTATTGAGATATTTAACAACTTAATATTAGCCAAGATTTTTAGAAATAGTGGCACTATTGTGATAATCTCATGGAATTGTGTCAACATCTACCACGATCATCCAGATTTCATGATAGTCTCCCATGATCTAATGCTATATAGTAAATTTTTCCTATTGTTTTTTTCCTATTGCTATCTTTGCAGATGCTTACTACGTTGCAATAATATAGCAACATTGAAAGCTCGGCTCCATGTTCCAAATATGTCCTGTTTGATTGTTTAAGATTTTAGGCTATGTTCGGCTAATATCAAAAATAGAGGTGCTTTACTTTTACTCTAATTTACAATTTTGTTAAAATTTCCTCCATAACCATTAGGTGTACAACGATGCTTCAATATACTAAATATTTAGTTATTTTTAAGCTCAATAAAAAGTTTTCAGGCTCTAAAATGAAAAAAAATCATTAATTTTTACAACATAAAACTCCGTACCCAATAGTCTGATCATGCTGGTTCACGAACTCGATTGAATAAACGCAGGTACACCCATTTGTACCGAATAAACAAAAAAATCTGTCTCGAGTCTCGGTCTTACCATGAGACCTGTGACGGTAATTAATAGCTTAGGCTATTCCCTATTTGGGAAACTCGCTAATATTCCCTATATGGGATATTAGCTAAACATTTACAAAAATCTGTTATTTATGTAAACTTTTGGAAGTGTCTTTTTTCAAAAATATAAAATGGACCATCACATTAAATGCTAATGAATAATTAAGATAAGTTAGTTGTTAAAAGTTATACAAGGGGTACATTATTGTTTATTTTTCAGGGAAGAGAAAGAGGACACTCACAAGTCTAAAACTCCAACACCAGAAGTTGATGATGAAGGTTACTGTATTCGACCCAAGTTGGACCCGTGGGATCATGATAAAGGCAGCTTTTACTCTAGCTCTGATACAGATTCTGGTAAGGCGTACTTGTTCAACCCATACTTCTTTTAGAGTATCCAAAGTCCTTTTTCAATCATCAAAATAAACAGAAAATAGTTCCAGTAATAGTATAACTTATGCATACCTACCCAAACATCTGACATCTTCTGTTATTTGCAAAATAATGTTTACTAGTATTTTCAAACTGTTTTATTTAATTTTTTGGATCTTAACTGGTGCTTCTATAGATACCCTTTTTGGAATAGATAATGAGTTTCAATTTGAGGATTCAAAATTATGATAGGCTATGTAAATATTTTGAATTTTAAACTATAAGTGGCTTTAAATACCTGTATTATCATTTATCGGTCACCCAAATTGGTTGCTACGTCAACTAGTTTTTGGCCCTAAATGAAGGCTGACAGCATAGCTTCTTTCGACAGCTTTTGTTGAAAAATGAATTTGTAGGTCAAACAACAGCAAAACATGAGAAAAATAAAAGTTGCAACTTCAAAATGAGATAGTTTTAGGCCTATTCAATTATGTGCAAAAGTTTATAATTGTTATTATTTTGAAAAACTGTTTTTATATTGGGGCTATGATGAGAAACTGTGTATAAGTTTCTTAAGGTGTTATTGTCTGACTAAAATAAAGACTTGATTATAGAGGATGAACGAGAACAGAAGATTCACGTGGAGATAAAACCTCTCGGCAATGGAACAGGACCCATCAGTGCGAGTGTGGACGAGCTTAGAGCCACTGTTGAAAACATCTCCCTCTCCCCACTTGGAACTATTCCTGTAAGTTTGGAAATGCTAATTCATATGTTAGGTACTTTGAGGGTCAAGTGTAAATTAAGGCAGGGTACAAACTGGAGAAACCCGTTTCTGGAAACTGATTTCATGAAATTGGTTTTAATGTTTTAATGAAACCATTTCTTTAAAACATGCACACAAAAGAAACTGTTATCCATCAGTTTTGTGATTGATTCCCATTTCTTCTTTAAAGTAAGTTATCGTAATTGTATTTTGAACAATTACATCAGGAAATCGTAAGATGTTTATATGTGCATATAAACCTTCTTTGAATTTAAGGGAAGTGATGAAAATTTTTGTCACCGTATTGTGGACAACTACTTAAAAAAAGGCTATCGGGAAATATCTTAAGGCATATTTATATATACCTTTCCAATAAACATGTTCCTTTCAGAACATGTTTGTTAGTTATTTCTGCTAACTTCTCTTGGAAACAAATGTCTGCCATACTAAAAACAGCACTTGAGTGTCATGGTAAGCACTTTAAAGACTTTATTTAATTTTATGTTGCAGTACATAATACCACTAGAAACAAGAAATCTGAAGCTTATACAAAATCAGATTTTTTGATTTCATATTACCCAGTTGCAAGAAACCAACGAAATTACAATTTCATGCAACAATTGCCTAATGTGTCCAACAAGCTCCAGTCCCAGCCAAGCAAGCTAGTAAATGTAAAACCAACTGTTATTTTCTTCTTCGACTATTATTTAGCTGATTCCAATCCTAATGCGGCAATTAGTCTCAACGATCATTAAATGTGAGGGAAAATCGACGCTTCTATCTTTTATGAATAAAGTTCCATAAATATGTTTCTGTGGGAAAGAGGTCAACTCCTATGAACATCCATTCTAGTTGATAGATGTACAAGTTCAAATTTCAACTACCTTGCTTTGCTGCGATTAGGGCTCGTTTGAGACTTAAATTCATAAACCATCTTTGTATATTAAATTAAATCAAGGGCCTTGCTTGTATAGGCTAAAATTTCATTTCTTGCGACATTAAGCTTAAAATCTGATTTATCACTTTTTCTTACACTCGCCAATCCCTGAACACATACTAGATATAATTTTGAATTAAGGAGTCAAAGGACAGGATAAGCAGGCTTACCTTACAAATTCTAGGCATCCCAGCTTCACTAAAGTAACACAAAATAAAACACAAAGAAAACACTAAATATTTCAAGACCACTGGCACCTTTCTCAACATTGAGAGTCACATTAGATTCTGGAAGACTTTCAGAATCTAATGTGTGGATTTTAGAATCAGGTGAAAGAGTTCCAGAATCTAATGTGACTCTTAATGTTGAGAAAGGGGCCAGTGGTCTCGAAATATTCAGTATTTTATTTTGTGTTACTATAGTGAAGTGGGATGCCTACAATTTTTAAGTTAAACTTGCTTATCCTGTCCATTGTCTTCTTAATTTTCCAGCAATAACCCCTTTCTAATCAGAAATAATTTTGAAGTAGTTTAAATGGACTGAGGACATGAGAACTTTTCGGTTCCTTTTGAAATCTCAGTGCCTTATATCACTTGAGTTTTTGAGAATAATTAGCTTATCCAAGTTTATAATACTTTCTGCACTCTTTTTTTACCTAGCTGAAAAAGTACAATATGTTCTTGGAAATTATTGAACCTTTTTCTGAGTTTTCCATGAAGTTAGGATGTTGTCAATTGCATGGCCAATCTTTGTTTCCATTTTGTACCCCTAGTAATTTATGGGCATTTACCTCCATCAGAGTCACAAATAATGTAGATAACTACCACCAGACTGTAAACTAGTTACCCTTTGGTAAAACTCTATTGACACTCCCCATTTGCAAAAACTATGGAAAATGTTGTTAGTTTTTGATTGTAGGGGAAGAATGCAGATGATGTTTTTGTTGCAGGGAAGGCGAGGTTCTAATGCTGAAGATCACACAATGAAGAGATCTCAGTCTGTGTCACAGCAAATTGGAGGGGGGTGAGTTGAATGTTCTAAAGTGCAACATTATTGAAGTTTGTAGGTACAGTAGACCCTCATAAACATTTTGCTCAATCCGGAGAGCAATTCAACAGAAGTTAATAAACATTTCACAGCTTGGTTAGGAATGTATGGAAATTACACATTGTTTTGTTGGGTAGCATGCTGTATTGCTGTTGTTAGTGCCTAGGTGTGAGTCTGGAGAGGGTAAGAACTACACACCATTGTCATGATACTGTTAGCAAAAATAGCATCTGAAATGTGAAGTATATATATTACAATTCATGCATTGTACTGTAGGTGTATTTTAGTTAATGACTACTGTTTGTATTTTTAAATACAGAATACACTATTCAAGTTTTGTTCTCTAAAAATATCAATTATTGAAATATTATAGAACATTTTTTTTATTTCAAAACGGTACTTACTTAAAAAACGTGCCTCGTACGTATCAATTATATACACATATAAAAATTTGAACATACAGGGTGTCCGGTGATAAGTGTTAAATAAAATTTTGCATTAAACTACATGGTAATGGTGACAGAATGTCGCAAATTTGAGGTTCCCAACTTCAACAGTTAGAGAATAACAAATAAATTAAGATTTTTCAAAAATTATTGTAGTTGTTATGAAAAAGGTTATTTTACTCTGTTAAAAATGCACTTACCGTCAGTTTCAATGCCATTTTCAGAATCCTCACAAAATTTTAAATAAATATAACACATAATCGTTGGGGTACGTAAAAATATTCTATTTAAAATTCTTCGTTAAACAAATTATTTTTATATCGACGAAAATGTAAATAACATTTAGCAGTTTATTTCTCGGTTGTTGAGTTCCGGAGAGGTTATCAAATATGACAAAAAATTTCCTTATTTAAAGGGCTTTACAATGGTGTATAATAGTTTTTACCGAATTTCAAATTTCCTAATGTAATTCGATCATTATTGTGAAAAAACATGGTTGGGCAAAGAAAATCTATTGTGAAGAATAATACATTTAAGTGCAGGCAACAAATAATTTGTATTTCTTTCTCGCATGCAACGCTTTGTTTATAACTACCCAGCTAAGAAAAGAAACATAGTAGTAAAATGTGTTTGTGATAAAGTTACGGTTATCGTATAATTTTCATATAAGATTTAAATTATCTCCCGGAATTTCTATTTTGTTGAATGGATTTAGTCAATAGATTCAGGTATTTTACTGATAACAATACTTTATCCAAGCGATAAGAAAACAAAGCGAACCAGTAGTCATATTTTAAAACGATCTATCAGTCACATGTGGACAGTGATCGGTCAACTATGTCTTTTTCGATTCGGGAGTATGTTGAAATGCATTTTATTTATGGTTTGTGTAACGGTAATGCGTCGGCTGCTCAGAGAGAGTACCAGAATCGGTATCCTGATCGCACCACCCCCAGTACTCAGGTGTTTACTAGAGTGCATCAACGTTTGCTGGAAACAGGATCGGTTGAGAAGAAGAAGAAAGAAGTAGGACCTGTGCATGATGTTGCAGCTGAAGAGGGTGTAATTCAGAGAGTTATGGATAATCCTACTACTAGTGTTAGGCAGCTTGCCCTTGAAACTAGTATGTCCCGGTGGAAAGTACATAAAGTGTTGAAGGACAATAACTTCCATCCGTATCATTTTACAAAGGTCCAAGGATTGGAGCCTCGTGACTTCGAATCCAGAAAGGAGTTCTGCCGCTGGCTTCTTCAACGTGATATTGTTGAATATCACTTCCTTAAAAAAATACTATGGACTGACGAATCCCGTTTTACCAGAGAAGGTGTGATAAATATTCACAATATGCATCTTTGGAATAATGAAAATCCAAAAGCCTCCAGAGAAGCTTCTTTTCAAAAAAGGTTTGGGATCAACGTGTGGGCAGGTGTGATTGGAGATCGGTTAATTGGTCCTCATATCTTCGAAGGAAATCTGAACGGTGATTTATATCTAGATTTTCTTCAGCACTCTCTACCTCAGTTGTTGGATGAAATTGATCCTCAACAAAGAGCTGAAATCATATTTCAGCAGGATGGTGCTCCACCACATTTTACTGAAAGCGTTCGGTTGTGGCTATCCCAAAACTACCCGACATGGATTGGACGTGGAGGAAGTGTGACATGGCCTCCTCGATCTCCAGACTTGAGCCCGTTAGATTTTTTTGTTTGGGGTTACATGAAAAGTCTAGTTTACTCAACTGTTGTAAACTCTGAAGTTGAGTTACGGGAGAGAATCTTTGAGGCTGCTGGGAAAGTAAGGGAAAAATTGACGTATGAGGTCACAGTTGGCGCAATCCGCAAAAGAGCTAGGGCCTGCTTGCGGGAAAACGGTGGGCACTTTACACCCAAACTGTGATTTGTGCTTCGGACAAAGTGTGTCATTGATTTGTTTAATGGGTTAACTATCATTTCATATTTAAATTGTAGTGTGTATTATGTTTTTTACTAATGTGTTGTGTTTTTTAATTACAAATTTTCCAAAGTCTTCAAAAAAACTCTTTAGTTTGATGGAAGTGTAGTCTGGTCAATCATAAATTATACATACCCTCATCATCAGTGGTCAGCTCATAAAATAGTAAGTAAACTTTTATTATTTTTTACAATATCTGTTTTGGCTTGACCGTGATTTTTCACAATAGTGCGTAAAATTCACCATGGATTTGACAGTAGGTAAATGTTGTTATACACCATTGTAAAGCCCTTTAAATAAGGAAGTTTTTAGTCATATTTGATAACCTCTCCGGAACTCAACAACCGAGAAATAAACTGCTAAATGTTATTTACATTTTCGTCGATATAAAAATAATTTGTTTAACGAAGAATTTTAAATAGAATATTTTTACGTACCCCAACGATTATGTGTTATATTTATTTAAAATTTTGTGAGGATTCTGAAAATGACATTGAAACTGACAGTAAGTGCATTTTTAACAGAGTAAAATAACCTTTTTCATAACAACTACAATAATTTTTGAAAAATCTTAATTTATTTGTTATTCTCTAACTGTTGAAGTTGGGAACCTCAAATTTGCGACATTCTGTCACCATTACCATGTAGTTTAATGCAAAATTTTATTTAACAATTATCACCGGACACCCTGTATAGTGTTTTGACCTTTGGGGACATCAGATTGTTAATTATTCTTTTACTTGAACTACCTCATTGTCTCCCCCTCAGCTTAATAAATTGCATGTTAATCCTTCATCCTTTCTTATCAAAATATATTTTATGTGGTCAATGTGTGTTTGTAGTTGAATGAAAATATGTCTTTGTTAATAGAAAGCTGAACAATGACCTGGTAGGACTGACACTGTTCCAAAGTCCAATAGGATCAAGTGCCTCAACCCCCACCACCAGTCATCCCTATGCTCCGTTGCAGAGTCCTACGCTAACTTCGGCCTCTAGTCCTGCACCTGTTACCACCAGTAGATACTCAGGTGGGTAGTACTTAGAACTTTGAGATCCAACGATTACCGGTGTGTCCATCCCTCATCTTATAGATCTGAAACAGTGGGACAGTACGAAAGATTAAAAAGTAGAAAATTTCTGATCAGAGGTGCTTTTTAGAAAGACTTAACCCATCTCATTAATTTCAACCTGATCTGTCCTCGTGGATTGCACACTAGACCTGACTGAGAGGATTCAAACCCTCAATCTTCGGTGCTGTATCAAAAGCTGGGTGAAAAAGCGTCAGACCACTCAGCCAGACTTGATTGTGATCTGTTTCATGGCTTGAAACTTGACTCATGTACATGTAGCTTAACTTTTCTATTCAACATTTGCTTTGTAAGGGCTATATACAATAATAAAGAGTGAAACATTACATTATCAGAGTTGCTTTGTGTATTGTAGGCCTTAGTTTTATCATCAATAAGGTATGCTTCTATGTATCTTGAGTGTTAATTTCCTAGAGGCTTTTGACATGTCTCGCAAAGAAAAAATCATCTCTAGGAAAAAGGTAAAATCTTTCAAGGTCATGTAAGGAACCTTATCACTCCAGCACAGAACTGAGTGAGAAGCTGTTATTGAATTACATGCTTTTAGGAGAGTTTATCATTGATACATTTTTTTTGGCGTTATTCAGTTTTTTTTTTTTCTTTATCGAGAACTTGTTAAAAACTATGACACACACAATAATATCTTGGACGATTTGTGTGTTTGTCAACGGTCATTTTACCTGATGAGTTGTGAGTGTAAACAAAAAAAAGGTGAACTATGCCCTCAAAAGATTTATCAATCAGTAAGAAGCTCCCAAAGATATCTCAACATACTAAGTACCGGGCTAGCAAAACACTCTAGAATGAAACATTATAACAGTAGAGCTATATCAAACATCTCTTGGTGGGAGGTAAATGCATTATTCTTCATTTTGCAAATTAGCTGAAGAATGTAATTGCCAGTACTCAGTGTAATTAATTAACTCTGTGTTTTCTAGATTTGCAAGATTTGTTCCAAGAGGTTGGTGTTATTCAGCCTGCAGGTGTAGGGGTTGAGAGGACACAGAGACAGACTCCTACCCCTACCTCGGGTATTGCCATTCCGAGGCCTCCATCCCGTCGAGACGACATTACTTCTGTAAGTTACTGCTTTGACACAAGTTAAATAATTGTAACGGTTCTGTTAGTTTGGGAAAGGAGACATTTACACTCTTTTTTTTAGAGGTTGGCTGCCTCTTTTAACTTTGCATTTACCTGTCCACATTGGCCCCAGGTCTGTGCATGGAATGCATCCAACAAATCAAGGGGTTATTTGGTGCAGTACAAGAGTTTAACTGTACTGATAGTTATAGTGGTAGGCTCCAGGATCCAAACCCATGACATCACTGCCATGGATCTAAAGTTCAATGCACTACCGACTGAGCCACCGACTCACCATATGCTTTTGGAAGAAACCCACAGTCATCATTACACAGCTTATATTTTGATTCTTGATACACCACTAAAGTAATACAGTCCATTCCTTCAGACCAATGCAAAGTTATGTATTTATAGGGTGGAAACTGGTGCCTACCCAGTTTTGAACTTCAACTGACTTTTCCTTTCATTCTACTCTAAACAAGTCCTAAAAATATCAGTATAATGTTTTGTGATGTGTTGTTGTATATCTATTAGCCCCTTTAGTTTTCTCAGGTAAACTCTACCTCTATCCAAAAACACTCCTGAACAGCCACTTGGTTATCTTAAAAGAATTCTGGATATTACCTTTCCCTTGTATACAAAAAATCTTCTTATCAAAAGACTAATCACATAATCATTGTTCCAGAGTGGCACACTGAGTCGCAACAATGCAGGTAGGAACAGTCCAGCACTGAGGAGCAGCCCAGGCCCCAGCAACATCGCGCGCGCAGACAGTGTGAGCAGTCTAGAGTTCCGTGCAGCAGGAGTGCCCGTGGGTCTGTCCCGCGGGCCGTCCCCTCTTACACTGGGCATGTCTGACACTATACCACTGGCAGTGGCCTTTCACGAGATGATACACTCCTACTTCCATGGCACTGACGAAAAGAAGTAAGACTTATGTTTACTTTTAGGTTGATACAATCAGTTTTCTTTGTTGACATTCTCCACCACGATATAAAAAACAAGTTTTCTAGATTTTTTTTATCTGGAATCTGATCCCATCCACTGGGAAAAGTACCTAAAATATAACAACAGTTTAGTAAACAAGTATCAATACTACTCAGTTATCATATTCAATCTGTTTCACTTTGATCACCTTGTATGAATCACTCAGGACTTTAAAATTTAGAATCCAGCTGACAGAAATTATTGATTTATCTTTGCTTCTTGCTCTCTATGAAATACTAATGCAAACAAACCAATGTATTATAGTTTGGATTTACCCTTTCCTTCTTTATACTATTGTTTTGTTCAAATCAAACCAGTTGTCCTATTTATAGTTTATATTTACAAAATTCCCTACTGTGCTCAAGTTTTTCTTAAAGAGTCGAGAAACAAATTAATACCATTCTCTTCCTCCTATCTTAGCTCTCTGTGGTTGGTTTGATTTGTCATCCCTTCTCTCCCCTTTCTTCTTATTCTATTGTGCTGAACGTAATCACTGGTGAAACAACCTGAACCATAACGAATATACCTTCTTTCACAACAGTGCATGGCATTGGTCAGTCAATTTGCATTTTGTTAGAAAGTTTTCAGAATGTTATTGATTTACTAATACAACTATTAATTAAATAAATATATCAACCTCGACTAAAGAAATACTAAATATTTAAGATTGACCGGACAGGTAGTTACGTATTTACTAACTTGGGTCTATACTCGTACTGTCATCTGTCTCGGCGTCTAGAGTGGCGTTCTTCTTCTTATCACTTAAAGGACAAAGTTCGTCAATTACACTAATAATACACTAATATATTTTAATGTCTATCTTTTCACTAATAACTAAAATCCTTCTTCTACTATACTATACTACGTAACCAAACTGTGATAATTGAGTAACAGTTATGCTTACAATCTCTAAAATAAGTCAAAATTACTTTTATATTTTGCATATTATTCCTTTTTCCTTTGTTGAACAATAAAGGTGACTTTAGTGTTGCTATATGTTTGCTTGTTTTTGTTCAGGTGCCAAGTGAAGTTGTCAGGAGATATGATGCTCTCTTTTCCTGCCGGCATCGTAAATTTGCTCACCAATAATCCGAACCCAGCCCAGCTCATTTTTAAGCTCACCAACTCTTCTAGATTGACCAAAGTGTTCCCTAACAAGCAACTAATTATTTGGTAAGTAGATTCAATATCGTGTATTCTTATTAGTCATGTGGGCTGGGTAAAAATACCCATTGGATAGAGAATTGATTAATTGGTATTTACCCCAGGCCTGGGTAAATACCCAAAAGTGTGTGTGTTTTAAAAAAGTACACCAGCAGCGTTCTGTATAGTTCAATGAATTTGTCATGTAAAAAAATAGTGAAAAATGATAACCATTTATTTGTTAAGAGAGTATTATTTCTGGTACATGCCATATGGTGAATTAGAAACCCAAGAAACTTGCCAAGAACTTGTTTTTTATACTTGAAACTTAACCATTGGTATTCATTGATTTCTGCAGGACTAAAAATTTAGAAAATATACATGTGTATTTTTATTTTTTATCGGAAAGTGAATTTTGTTGATAGAAAAATCTTTCCTTTTCTAGACATGTATAAGTGAATCAGTTAATATTAATTTACTTGAGCGTGTGTCTGTAGGTTTTGATTGTTATAATGTTAGTACAGTAAATTTGACACTTGTTTTATTTTATGTAATATGTTTTTCATATTTATGTCATTTTTTCCAGGGATTATGATGAACCGTGCCTAGAAACTTTGCCCCCTTGGACTACATTCAAATTCAACATGAGTGCCTTAACTGCTCTATTGAAACGCCAGGCTGAAAAGAATCCTACAGCTTCCTACTTCAATGTAGACATACTTAAGTATCAAGTATGTATCAGTTTTTTACATTTCTACAAAAAAATAGAAGCTAGTTTTAGTTGTTTGTGTTCAATCCCTGAATATAATCAATAAATGACGAAGGTCTGAATGAATTTTTCATCACCATTATAATGAGAAACCATTTGTATAAGAAAGTAAGCAGTTTTTTTAGGCTTTGCGTTTAGTTCACATTGTTTCATTTTTTGTGTTTACAGTTTTATTTTAAAATTTCCAAATTGATCCATGAAATACGGGTTTTTATGGTTGAAATAGTTATTTGTGCAACTAGTGAGAAAAGTGAGCAATTGACTCACTCGAGAGAAATCCTTACTCACGAGCCGTAGGCGAGTTATTATTTTCTGTATATTTCTGTATATATAAATACATGCCTCGAGTGAGGCAATTGTACTTTGAACTCGAGTTGCACATTATACTTTTCCTACAGTTACCATAAAACAAATAAATTGGTGAAGAAACATAACTTATTTTTACACAGAAGTGAACTTTTAATATTACATTTAACGTGAAGTGACAAATACAACAGTACAACAGCTGACCAGCTGATTTACAGCCAGTGCTGCCAACGTATTTCGCGCGCATACGACGTTGCCTGCTTGTTACGCGCTCACTATTTCGTGCCTTCACGTTGCAAATCTGGAGTGAGACAAAGTAATTAGAGTGAGACAATGTTAACATTGTCTCACTGATGAGCGAATTGGCCACTTTGCTTTCTCAAATCAGTGAGAGAACATGTACATTGTTAGGTAACCGTAGGAAAAAATATTTAACATCTAGAAGTTTTAGATTTTTGTTATGTGGTATGAGAAGGTTTAAGAAAGAAATTTTAAGGTTAGTTCATGTTTGGTGACTGTTTGGTGCCATTGGACATACAACTATGTAACATTACCTAACCTAACTTTTACTCTGATTTACCTATATCTAATACATTGTTTACTGTTGTAGGTGAAACCGTTTATAGGGGCTGCATCTTGTCCGTTCCAACTAGTGGCTTATTGGAAGTGTGAGAAGAACCAGACAGACATCAGGGTAGATTACATGTATAACAAGAAGGCTATGGGATCACCCTCCCCTCTATTGAACCTATCAGTGTCGGTGCCTGTAGACGGGGATGTCAAAGCTATGAATGCTGAGCCTCAAGCTGAATGGTAACTCACTTTATTCATTTTCAAAACTAAAATATGTGTGTTCAAAATGTTCAAGATAAATAGCAAGGGTAGATTAGTATAGCTAGAGATTTGACTTTGCCTCTTTGAACTGGAATACCATCATGAATTTTCAACCATTGTAGAACGGTAACTTGTTTTATTCATTTAAAAAAATTTAAACAATCTTAAGTTTAAATATATTTTTTTTCCCAAGATAGTTACTTCACTTACTAAAAATACAAAAAAATTTTGAAAAATCTAAATTGCTATAATAGAATAGATAATACACTTTTGGTCCATTTTTGGCAATGTTAACCTGGTAACTTGCTACGCCAAAACAATTATGTAAAAGTTTTAACCATTTGAACGCATAGGTTTATTTATTTATCTATAACAGTTTTTTAAAGTAGCCGTTTCAGTTCAGTTCTTTGAATTGAAAAGTTTCACATAACAGCATTGTTTACTTTCATAGCAGCATAGTTTTACTGATAACAACACGGGTAACGGACCAATGAGGTTCAAGGTTTAAGAGAGAAGAAGTAAAATTGAAATGATTCGAACTTTAACTAATCAGCTGTTCAGGCCAATTTAATTGTTGAGTGGTGCAATTCGTGTTTGGTACAATGTTTCGTTGCATCACCGTCAGTGGCAATGAGAGGTTATAAACAAAAACAATAACCTCTCTTAGAAGTTATGAGTACTTAGTGATTTTTACACTGTCGTAGGTAAAGTAGTGTATGCAACACCCATAAATAGTGTTAACGACATGAGTAGAAAATTTAAGGTACGAGCCTTCTCTTATTTATTACATCTAGTTACTGTAGTGAGGGACTAAAAGAAACCTGAATAGCAAAACTCCTGACAAAAACTACACACAATTTGAAACTTTACCTTGTAACAAAATCTACTGTCCGACACTTATCTAAAGGTTTGGAAAGTTGATCGTCACAGTGTCTGCAATCTTGGGGAAGGGGAGTGAAGAAGCAGGTTGGATAACTTCTCTTCATTGTTTAACAATACTTACCTTTTTACTGACATTTTGGATTTATTTCAGGGACAAGAACAACAACTGCGCAGTTTGGAGGTTCACAGAGCTATCGGATCTCACAGAGAATGGTCCGATTGGCTCATTGCGTGCCAGGTTTGAGGTGGCCAAAGGTCCCAGTTCCATCGGCATCATCGCTGTCCAGTTCAACTGTGAGGGAACTACTCTTTCTGGCGTGGACCTAGAACTGCAAGGGCCTGGATTTAGGGTGTCTTTGGTCAAGAAGAGATTTGTGTCAGGTTAGTACAAGAAGTACAGATACTATATTTTGAGATCGTATGCTGAAGCAAAACAGGGATTTGATTAGATGGATATTATGCATTTATTTAGGAAAAGGAAAGGAAATTAATTATGTCTATAACTAAGATGTCAATAGTGAAGAAAAATGACTTATGACAGAAAACTTGAAGTCTTGCGACCTTTACATTTTGAGAAGATACACAGGTGTGATTTCTGTTGAAAACAATTTTAATGACAGAACAAATTAATGGCATCACCTGATAGAAATAATCCATTATCCAATAAGGCCTTTGATGAATATTCTTAGTTTAAATATAATGACTCATTTCACTATTATTATGTGACATTAATATTTTACAGGAAAATACATTTGTCACGGCTCAAATAATAAGAATCGCTGCATTGAAGGTAGTGAAAATAACGATGAAAATAATGAGAATCATTCATCCTCGTCTTCAGACTCCTAACAGGATGCTGGTGAGTAAACTTATAGAATTTACCCACAACCCACAAACTATACACACACTATCAAGGAGGTCAAGTAGTATGTTTTCACAGTAGAGAACCATTGATAAAAAAACATGCCTTACTTTACTAGCAAACAATTCTGCCTTACCCTATTCAGTTGTGCATTTAGTATGCATACAAATTTACGAGAATTGTTTAGGGGTCTAGGTCATTCGCCTTCTTGCATCTTAACACGTTCAGTGCGGCAGGCACTCCAACAGGCGCTCGCCAATGACGGCGAGGTCCGGGCGAAGCCCAGGCGCGATACCGTAACAGCGAACGCAATTGGCATTCAAATATTTCAATCTGACGAATAACAAAAGAGCAGCGGCGATTGTACTATGTTAGCCCGAGATTGGACGTAGTTCCCTAAAACACCCAAAGGTAGCAGCACTGCCTGGATCAGTAGTCAGTGGCTTTGTAATATGGCTTGAAGAGAGAAAATCCCCGAAACCGGGACAAAATCATTGTCAGACGGGATTTTACGGGAAATTTTAGTACCAACCTAATACCCAAATAAAGCTCTCATTCTAAGCTACAGGCTAGCAACGATTTTAACATTCCCCGGCAATGGCTGAGCTCATACTGAACTAATGAAGTGGGAGTTGCGCAACTACAACATCAATTGATGTAGGCCGCTCGTGGCGCGACTACATCAATTGATGTAGTCAGCACTGAACGTGTTAAGCACTATCCTGTCATATACATCATACCCTGATTGTACAATGCAGTTTTAAATGTTGTGTAGGCCTGCTAGAATACATCATTTATGGCCTTAAAATTTTACACTTTTTTACAGATTCTTAATATCCTTTACAGTGGCGGTTCCAAGTTGGAGCCTAGGGAAAATTGAAACATAATTTTTTTCATAAAAACTTAACATTGGTTTTTGGACACAGTTCTATACGTTAAAATGGTTTTAAAATTCACCAAACGGCTTTAAATAGAAAATTTTCTGGGGAAGGACTCCCGGATCTCCCTCCTAGTTTGAAACACCCCCGTTAGCCCCCCCCCCCCCAACCCCTGTTGACAAGGTCCTAGAACCGCCACTGACCCTTTATAAACTGAATACAGTAGACTCCCTCTTTTCCGGACTCCTCGGGACCGAGGCCAGTCCGGATAACATTTTTTCCGGTTAAACCGACGTCCCCAAAAACTCGTTAAAACGGACCGTTTAAATGCATACTGTATACAGTATTTGACTTAAATTTAGGAGAGCACTGTATTTAGACACGTGATCACTGGTCTCAAATCTTTCCCACGAGAACAGTCGTTTCAGTACCGCCCACTTCCTGCTGATCTAGTCCGGTTAAACCGATATGCTGATAAAAGTTGTCCAGTTAAAGAAATGTCATTCCCACCAAGTGTAGTCCGGTTAAACTGATGTCCGGTGAAAAGGTGTCCGGATAAGAGGGAGTCTACTAAATTGACATCATATAATAAAACGTTGCCTAACCTTAATTTTGATTACTGATTAGTCCTAATTAGTTTGGTTTAGGGAGTTTTCTACTGTTTTTATTTATTAAATAAAAAGTTCTTTTAGAAATCGATTACCGATTGTGTGATTCAAATTTCTGAGTGATTTCTGAATTTAACAAACAACATGTGATTTTTATCGGTTGACACTCTGTATCCAGGGCCTGATTACCCATTAGGCTAATTAGGCTGGAGCCTAGGGCGCCAGTCAGCCAAGTGTTTTAGGGGGGGCGCCAGACAGCTAAGACTTAAAGTTGTGACTGGGGGTGTAAACGCCCCATCTAAAGGCCCTAATAAAATTGTTTTAGGCCTAGGTGATTAACAGTTAATTTAGAAAGTACGTATATTATTGTTTGGTTTTTTGATATTTTAGGTTAGGTCTACTTTTGATTTAATACAATCATATGTTTAATAAACTGTAAAATAAATACATTACTGTGCCGTGCCACCCTAGTGCAAACGAAGCTTTATAAGGTCGTACTGTGAACTTAGTTCAAACAATATCTTTACCTTCTGTATCTATACTCGACCAGAATTAATAGTGCCTATGACTATGTCATATTGTTTAGCTCTTGAATTTGAAATATTATCTCAAAGTCGAAAGATTTGCAGTTTTAAAAGTTCCTAATCAAACCATGCATTAATTTATGATCAGCTTTCTTTTGTTTTTAAATAAACTGAATAGTAGTATATAGTATAATGCCTTTGGTAATTTTTAATTTTTGAATTCAGAATTAATATTCATACATTGAAATTTTGAAAGTGGTGGCAGAGAGGAGGGCTAGTGGTAGGGAGGAGGAGGGGGCGCGAAAAACGTCAGCCTACTGGCGACTAGAGCCTTAATCAGGCCCTGTCTGTATCTACTCATTTAATGGTTACGATTTGCAAGGTAGAGGAAATATCTGTGCTAGTGAATATGTCATGGTGTTGATGTTGATACTGTATTCTGTGCATTGTTTTACTACCTAGCACTGTATCATAAGTGGAAGTAGATGAAGATGTTGATTTGGTGTATACATCCGCTCAGTGCAACAGAACCAGTAGCTTATGTTCTACTATCCACAACTCTTAATAACCATGCATCCCACTTAAAACAGATTCCAGTAAACCTGTTGTTTGTGGAATTTGGATTGGCCGTTTTGAACATTTGTCGAACTTTTGAGATTGTACAGAATTACATTATTTTTGTTGTAATATAATATTTGTTTGTTATAAATATCACTTGTTTAAGTTTTTGTTGGTTTGCAAAATAATTTTTTGGGTTCGATACATATAAATTACTAAGCATTTCTTGGACTCTTTACTTTGAGTGCTTATCTATTGCAATTTAAAGTTTTTATGCATTTGAATCTCATTTCAAATAATGACAAATAGTACTTTATTGACCACTACATAAATTGAGTTTGTTTTAGGTTCAATGCCCGAGGAAGAGTATGTCTAGAGATGGAATCATAATAATGTATTTATATTCGTTTTAGTGTACTTTCAGTGATAGTATTTACATACTCTGTTGTGTGAAAAACATAATTATTTTTTTACAAGATATGTCTTTTATAGACAGGGTTACTGATATATTTATATATACAGGGTTCCTGTAAGAATGTATTCTGACTAGCATGTGAAGAATTTTGTTCATAAGACTTTGGGCTATCTAACTGTTTGATCAGGCACAGTATAAATAAGCCAATGGAGAAATGTACATTTACAGAGATTTGCCCATTACATGCACAGGCTATATGTAGTTTAAAGTAACTCTAAGCTCTGTAAATTGTAATATATTTGATTGTAATCAAAATATTATTTGTAAAGGCTTAATACAGTGTTAGTTATGTTTTACTTCTGTCTTAGAATACTACTTAAATCTGTTGATGTAAAAAAATAATTTTTATGCTTTTGTTTAATCACTTGTTACTTGTTTTGTTATTATTGATTCTGTTCGTGTATTTGGATTTTAAAATTCCAATAAATATTTGTCTTCAGATTTTGCTGGTTATAGATTGTCTGCGTTTGATTAATTTGTCACTCCTTAGAAAACAGGATGGTGAAATCTTTACTTGCTTCAGAGCAATCAAAAATTAAAATTCAATCTTTTATAAATATTTAATTAAGTTAATAATCAAACACAAAAAATACTAATTAATAGACTTAAATGGCAGCCAGTTTTTTAAGTGCAAAAAATAAATGTTGGACATTTTAAGTGGATGTTTTTTTTCACTTAGTTTTATCCCCATTTTAACAGTTTTATCATGACAATTTATTTATGTTGAACCATTTTATCAGTTTTTAAGGTACAATACAAATTACAGTAGTTGTCCCATTTACAGTAAAGGCCCATTTAACAGCTAAACTATGTTTTTAAGTTTTTAAGATTGACTATAGCTCTGTTTAAATTTCAATTGTGCAATGATGTAATTTATATTTTCTTCCTTCAAGGAAAATTCATTCAAATAAAAACAGTTTTGATGCTGAATAATTTAAGATTAATGACCAACCATTATTCTAAACAAAACAACTTTTGAAACAATCAACTTTTGGATCAACTTGATCTTTATGTAATGTCTTATATAATTTTAAAAAGGCTTTTCTTTGTTATAGTTCATGAAGTAATACCAGTTGGATAACTCATATCTAAGTATAATTTTGTCCAGCTTAGATGATTTATGGACCAAACCTTGGATTCAACATTAACTTGTTAGAGGGCTTTTACTGTAGGAAAATCAATTTATCTCACAGAAATTCTGTTCCTCTAATTTAATTCTAGACATGAAAATGTAAAGAAAATATGCTAGTATTTTTTCATGAATAAAAATATTTAAATAAGGTTGGCTTTTATTTGTTTATGTAATTTTAAGAGTGTTTGGTACTAAATGCAAGCGATAATGGATTTCTTCATTGATGTTTTTTAAGATGGTTTGTCAAATAACATGACATTTTTTACTTGTTAGGAACCTATATTTGGTTTTGAAGTAGTTATGTTGGTAACACTAATTCCGTCTGTCAAGATCTAAGTTCTTTTCAAAGCTTGTCGGGGTGTCAGTTCTTCAGAATTAAAGTTCTTTACACCAAAAGTTTCAAGGAAGAAACATTAATGTTAACAAATGAAAAGAAAAAAAATGAGAAAACATCTACCTGTAAGGAACTTAAGAATGTCTTAAATAGCCAAAACAAGAAGACAGTTTTTTTTGTGATGTGTAATAATCGTTCCATGTTTAATACCATGTTTGAAAGCATCCAGATATACTAACACTCGTTAAATTACTTATGTTGAATTATAAATTTAAAAAACAAAATCAGGTTTCAAAATCGGTTAGAGGAAATAACAACTTTCAAAAACTCTATCTACACATTAACCGGCTTAAATTTTGTTATGTATATTTGTTTAATTTAGTTTGTTAGATAGATCTATTATCATTTCTGTAAGTTAAATATAATCCAGAGAGAGTTCAAAGATAGTAGTAAAAATTATTAAGTCTCTGTTATAATACTGAAAACATAACCCTACACAGATTAATTATAAACTTTGCAGATAATTCGACAATGACACTGGTAGGGTTATGTAATATACTTGTAAGAAATCGTATTAAAATAAAAATATGTAAATAATAGTGTTAGTGTTGAAATACCTTGTTGTTGCAGAATACTTGAAATGTGTTGAGTATGTGAATTGAATTGATACATGTTGGATGCTGTTGTATTATTTATTACCAAAGCTTCTGAATCCACATGTATTATTTATATACAGTAGATTTATTTTATTATGTTTCACGTTTTATGTTTTGTATATTGTAAAGTTTTAGTTTATATTAACCTTTTGATAAGATGTAGCTTAAATATTTTTTTGTTCTAATGATTTTGCATAATATTGTTAGGTAAAACAGGTAAAGTAAAAAACTATAATTTTAATTGGTGCCAAAATCTTTGTAAATTTTAAATAAAACATTCTTTACGAATAAATTAATTAAGTTTTAAAATATGTATAACAAAAAGAATTTTTCATGATATCTTTCGTATGAGTAAACATTCCAGATTCCAAAACAGGCTTGTGGAATTGTTACTATGATAACTAAACATTCACATTTCAAAGAATTAAACATAATACATACATAATACTAACTGTAATTACAATACAGTACATAATATATAGAGTCATGAAATTGCATAATACTAACTTCCTTTTATTTTAATGATATTTTTAATTTTCATAAATGTTTGAGAGTCTCTTGATCTTATCATGTTATTGAATATTTTATGAATGTTAATTTTCAATTAGTTGTCACTATCCTTATCGCTCCTTATATCAGTTATAGTGCATTAACCCAAACCTACCATTTGCAATTGGCTATAATTAATAAAAAAAAAGATAATTTAGTACAACATCTGTGTAAAAAATTTTGTTTCTGAGTAATATTAAATTTTACTTAATCATGCATCCACCTGAAATGGAGTTCAGTAAAAAGAAAACTAATTAATTAACTTATGGAAAACTTTTCAATTTGATGAGTAAAAATTAAAATAAAAACTTTCTGAAAACTCTGTTTAAAAAGGATTTTTTATTCAGTAAATGATTCTATGTAATTGACCCCAATTAGAACTTAATTACTAACTTAAAACTAAATTATTTTAAAATTTGCACTTATTGAAAACCCCTAGAACTCATCTTGCTCAAAGGACAACTTAAAGTTGTAATTTGGCTGTTATAAAAAAAAAAAAAACAGCTGATTACATATGTCTGCTGCAAAAACAGCTGTTTGTATACATATGTTGAGGGACTAAAGTAGTTGTTTTCATTCCTACTTACTTCATAGAACCAAAACAACCAAATAGTGTAGCACATCAGAATAGCTGTTTATTCATGTAACAAAACAAGATACTGTAAACACATTTTTGAGAGCTGATTTGTTAAGATGATACACAACATACATCATTTTGTTTTGCGATTTAGCCTGCCTAATAATAATGCAGTATGACAAATAAATAATTCGTAAAGTCCTTTTGACCCCTGCTCATTTTATAACCTTGGATTTTCCTCAGCTATTAAGTTTGAGCTTCTGTCAAAAAGAATCTTCAAAGTGATGAAATAAAATATTTTAACTCGTTTAAATTTTCTGGACTCCTCTGAAATGACTCACCAATCTTTGTTTAAAGATTCATTTGTAAAGTTTGTGTTAATGCACATTGTATAACTTTATGCTTAGTTACATAATATTATTGTACTATATGGAAATATTTTTTGCATGTAAAAAAGAAATATAATTTAAGAATTTATAAGTCTATAGCTGGAATATGTTGTTGATCAATTATATTCGCTTGTCTTTATCGTTTTATATTATAATCTTTTTTCTTTTAGCTTCACAAACAATGAGTGCAATGTACACATAATACTTGACATGTTTGTTGTATGGTATAATTCTAGATTACTTTCTTGTAATGCTTTATTTAGTTAGGTAAAGTCATTTCATTTATTCATACTCATGACATTTTATTCTTCATCAAATGAATAGTGCTTAATGCATTGTATAATCTTATATTAAGGGAGTGATTAATGTTTAAAAAAACTCTTCTTTAAAATTTTAATTGTATCTTCTTTATTCGTGATGAATCCATTTAAAGTACATACTAATACATAATGAATTACATAATATTGAATACTAATATATTATCATAATATACAATATATATAAGGAATTATTAAATAAAATGTGTAATACATACAAAGAGATAAGCAATTCCTAAATTCTTGTCAGTATTTATCATAGAGTTCTCACAAAATGTATTTATTTTATCACATTTCGTCATGATTGTTTGTTTATTAAATCCACTGTTTTCTTTAAAGAAACTTTTGCAGTCAGTCTTTTATTCTTTCTCGGCTTTTACATATGGACTGTAAAAGACCAGGGTTCACGCTGTGCTAAGCTGGATCAGTGATGGCTCTAAGGTCATGAATGGTACAGTAAATGTAATGCATGACGGTAGAGGAAGGGGGCTTAAGAAGGAAGTTTCATAAAGGATCGTTTTTATTTTGTTGTCTACAGACTTAATGTTAAGGAGTTCAACATATAGAATGTTGAAGAACAGTCTTCTTCCGCAGTTCAAGCACATATTTATAGATTTTAAATTGTGAAAATCTAGTAAAAACTAAGTATTTTCTTAGAGCCACACAAAGTGTGTAATGACTCCAATTACGTCTTTTAAAGGCTCACTCAATTACAAACTTTAAACATACTTATATTTTACCACCGTGTTGAAATCCTGTAATAGGTGACGGAAATCTGTATACTATTCACTGCATAAACGCAGCATAACTTGAAGCCTAGATACACAGTGTAAACTAAACATAACATGTGAATAGGTTATTCCTCACCATCAGAGTTGTAATATTGATTGTTTCCGTCGTCATGACAACTGTCTTGGCCAGATTCCATTACCCATTAGCTTTGACTGATCTTATAAAGTCTGAACGTTGCTTGCCCTTGTAGTGTTAGAAGACTCCAAATTAGGTAGACTACAAGTCAGAGCAAAACCTCAATTTGCTAAGATAAATCACAATTTAAAATACTAGTAGTAAACAAAATTTCAATTTTTAAAAACATTTACCCAGGCTGTACTTGTAGCAACTGAAAAGCTGCCCCTTAGATTGGCACAGTTGACGAGTTAAAGGATTATTTGTAATACTGCTGATAAAGTTTGAAAACAAATTGAACTAACAGACTACATTGAGCAGATCCTGATTACCATTGCCCTTCTTTGTAGTAGAAGGATAAAGAGATGGAGCAAAACATTACAATTCTTTGTTTCTGTTATCATGATTAAATTATTTTGGAATAAACCCGTTTAAGGTACATAGTTATGATGTATTAAATACAATACTACCTAACTTGTGATAAAAAAACAAATAATCATGATGCATGTTTGTAAACTAACATTTTCAACTCTTTGCTTTCATAACTAAACTAATATCAAAATGGTTATTCAATTACAA